GGGGGGACAATGAGAGCACATAAAATATATTTTGCTGTATTTATTCACTAAATGTTATAGAATAGTTAACATAAATAAATCATATCTAAAAATGTACCAAAATGGATAAATTTAAATTGTGATATACAGAGCAAAATCTGTCCTGATGCTTTTTTTCCAAACTATAAAAGAATAAACAAGTAACATGAATACTAAAAAAATTCAAATGTACCAAATATGAACATGAACACACACACACACACACACACACACACACACACACCAATAATTATAAAAGGGGAAAGACAGGTGAAGCAGGAAAAAAAACAACTGTACAATTACCACTGGGAAAAAAAAAGGAAGAGAGGAGAGTCTCTAGCCATTTCTATATTTTGTTCTGTTAAGTTAAAACAAAACTGGATATTTTTCATGAAGTAATATTGGAAAACTGAAATATTCACTTACTTCCAAGTACAGACAAAGGACTCTTAACAATTCAAAGCTCCTCTTTCATCACTGACAGCAACAAAGGCAAGAGCTTTCTGCCAGTGCCATTCCCAAAGACTCCTCACTAGTAGCACTCTCTCATCACCAAGACAATCTCAGACAGCCAAGTCTAGAGCGTAATGTTTGCATGCAATGATTTGGATACATTTTCTAAACTGCACAGATTTCAGTTCTGAACACAACTGAAAACCAGATCTTCTAAAACTACTTGGGAAAACAGGCTGGCAATGACTCATTTCAACCTACAGGACAGTAAAATGAAAATGGATGGTCTACTCCTGAACACTGTATTTGAAATTGGAATCAGAAATCCAGACCAAAAATTATTTCCTCAAGAACACAAATATAACAGAAGGCAAAAACAAATCAATAATATTATCAGTAAATACAGATTATTTTATAAGGACAAATATCTCTATTATGTTAAAGATTATACAATGAGTGTGCTTAAAAATCATTAAAAAATGTTTTAAATTTCTCAATTTAAGAAAAAAACATATTGAGAGGAAAAATCATATAACAAAACATTTCTAATTTTCTTTCAAGTCACCTGTTACTAAGAAAGTTATGTGTCTCCATGATCAGAGATATGATTTATCCACCCAATGGAAGAATTAGGTTACTATGATAAATTAAATGATTGTTTTCATCAATAAAACTTACAATGCAAAAATCATCATTTTAAACACTAAATCTATTGGACTATTACAATCCTTTGGGCCAATTTTAAGCTTTATTCAGTATTCTCAAAGTGGTAAAAATCTAAAATATGAACATATTTAAGTCACTAAATGCTCTTCACATTATTGTTCACCGAATAATATCTTTAATTGATTAATGATCTTAGGGTGTCTATCGCCATCTAGTGAACAATCACTTCAATTACTACACCAGACACTTGACATTTGATAGTTGTCTTCATGGTTTAAATATTTGTTTGTGCCCACTCAGTGTTACCCACGCTGGCTTATCCAATTTCTTTTTTATGCCTCTTTATGCACACATTGAGAATAAAAACAAATACAGATGATATTGCTACAGATTAACTTCTAAGTGTCTATAAATGAAGTTTCTATTTCTTCTCTGGAAATGCTCATTTAATTATTTTTAAATAACTTGTATAATGTGAGGTTCCTACGTAAGATTCCTTCAACAGTAACTAATTCCTCTATCATCAAGCAATTAAAAATTACAGGATAGTTGAAGTATGAAATGATGAAGTATGAAAGATCACACCTACAAAAAGACAATATTGATGCCCATTTGACATTTTTCACTTTTATTATAAACCTGTTTTTAAAAGTACAATTAGTAATTACTTGAGTATTCTAACAGCCATAATCCACATTTGATTACAGAAATCATTAGGTCACCAGAGCCAAATCTGCATGATCTCAACAAAACTCAGGACATACAAAATCTACTTAAAAAATACACACGGAGGACATTAAGGCCATACCAAAATGCAAAATTTCATGCCTCCTCGGACTGTGCATTAATCCATATCCAAATAAAAACTCTTAGAATCTTTTCAAAAGTATGTCACCAGGTTCCCTTCTCATTTCTATTTGAACTTTAATTTTAAACAGGAAGTTTAAATGCCAAAAAAACTTGGAAGATCTTCAGGTTATTGTATTACTTTGTCTACTCTACCTTAGAACCAAACCCCCAGTTTAGTAAGCTGCAAAAGTATTCTAAAATCTCAACTTTACCCCTCCAACCACTTTAATAATTAAGAAATGCTAGACAGGTGTATGCCTGCAATTAATTATAGGACCTAAGAGTCTTCTCTTGGGTTGAAGGTCAGCCTGTGGTATGTGGTTATATACTGTCTCAAAACAACAATGAAAATCCTTAAAAACAACAGATTCCACCACATATAGGAAAATGATAGCAAAACCAAACATAGATTATCACTAGACTATATTCATCTGTCAGTGCTAATAATTACTACCCATAGTTTAACAATCATTTTTATTTTAGTAAATTAACTTCTGAGATCTTTGGATCTGCCAAACTAAGAGTTGCAGAGGGTAGGTCTAGTCTGAACTTACCGCTTCTCATTAACTTCACATTAAAGACATAACTACAACAGAAGGTATTGTGCATAGGAAGAAACACAGATGAAAAGGGGAAAGGAGAAAGAAGAAACTAAGAATTTGAATCCCATGATTATTTCTAGATTTGTCTAAAATTCTTCTTTACTGAAGTGAGCAGGGAGGTTTTATATTTTACTTAAGATATATAATCACAATATTTTATTGAAAAAGTAAAAATTTAGCTTAGTTCTGTTATTGATATATGTTAATCAACAAAAAAGTAAAACTTGAGTTTAAATTCCCTATTAAAAATCCAGCGAAAAGAAAATACTGCCCTTAAAATACAATGGATTAGGGGAGTAGGAGAGATCATTGGACAAATTTGGGGCTTATCATTATCAACAGTGCCCTTTTAAGCTTGTGGATTTCTGAGCCAATGTAGAAAATGTAACAACAGGGATTTCTCAACAGCAAGAGGCACTCTCCAAGGGAGTAAATTGTCAACTATTGCCTCTCGTGAGAAACTTAAGAGTAACCTTGAGCCAATCTCAATAGTCAACCTATGTATTATCACCCAGTTGGGGCATAGTGAGTGCATTTCCTAATACAAAAATAAGATGGTATTCTATCAGAAGCCACTGGATACATATACAGAAATAAAATTTAAATAATTTTGAGGTAAACTTAGCCTAAGAATCTGAAAACATCTTTCTCTCACTTCAACTAGCCCCTAACAATATCTATATATTTCTCATGTAAAAAAGAAAATAAAAAGTTCATGTTCTACAATAGATACTGAAAAGAATGACTGTCTAGGAATAAGGTAGAAGACAAAGCCGAACTACAGTTGCAAAGCTATCCTCTAATGGTGAACCCGAATGCAGTAAAAGACTTGGAATGAGGAAGATACAGATCAATTCAAGGTAGCCACTTGTTCTCCTTACCTCCCCAGCCTCAGATTCCTCCTCTACAAACAGAATGCTATGATATGTCCAAGGACTCTTGAGTAGTTTTGATATAATAATGCACAAAACAGCTCTTCACACACCATCATTATTTAATACATGCTTTGCCCTTCCCCTCTGTGTCCTAACCCACATCTCTGAGATAAAGCTACAAGAGAAAAGTGACTTGAAAGATCGTGATGTTTGTTTCATGTCTGAACTGGATATATACTGGCCAATATTGTAATCACTCTCCACATGTTAGCTATTCACGTTTAAATTCATTTTAATTACAACTAAATAGATGTAAAAATCCAGTTCCTCATCTAATCAGGAATAACCAAATACAAATGTTCACCAGTCACTTGTGGCTAGAGGCTATTATATATGGATAGGACAGATAAAAATCATTCTCTTAAGCAAACATTGTCCTGAAAGTGCCAAGTAACAAGCATTTTAAGCTTTGCAGGCTACATTAAGACTTTATCCTGACTAATCAACTCTACCAGGGAAATAAATGAGCTCGTCTCCATTTTAATAAAACCTTAGATATAAAACACAGATAACAGGTTGGATTTTGCCTATAAGCCAGTTTGCCAATCACCAATCTAGAACATTCTAAGTCCAGATGTCCAGTATGAGCACTATGAACTATGTTTACAACTAAGAAGCCTTAAATTCAATGAAAGAAAACAGTATCTTAGTGTATTTGACTGAATTCAATATTTAATATTTAAAAAGTATAGGCTTTTATAGATTATAAAAATAGAAATCTCTACACAAAGCATTAAAGTAAGTGAACTTAAAATGTTCATAAAGTGAAAAGTACATAATGGTAATTGGTCTATCATCCTCAAGTCAGTATGTAACTCCAGCTGTGACATAACACTAGAATTCTGGATTCATATGCCCAACAACCTACTGAAAATGCCTAGAGATCTATTACTCAAAGGCAACACATAGAAGACAGAGTTCTTGATCCCTCTGTCTGTTTTCTCCCTCTTAATAAAAATAAAAGGCTTCACTTGCTATTCTCTTGATTTCTACCTTTCTCTCATATTACACATTAAACTAGTCCAATCTGAACCTAAGCTAACCTCCAAACATTGTCAAGGTCACCACCATCTTAATTATCTGAAGAAAGTTACTTCTACCATATTCATCCTAGACCATATTCATCTTAGACGGTGTTATACTTAGTCAGTTGCTTTCCCAAACTATCCTCTCATCAACTCCAGGTCCTCTACTTTTGTTCCCTTTCCCCCACAAGTCTGGATCAAATACAAGCTTTACATAATGTTTCACACTCAATCTTTATTGCCTAGAGGAAAGTCTGGCATACAGACCTTCAATAATTGCACATACACATGCAGAACTGCCAAATGAAGTCTTACTCCAGTGCCTATTTGTCTCGAACTTGCTCTAAAGAAGGAGTATTTCAAGCTGTAAAAACTAGGCAATAAACTTAGTTCCCCCATATTGCAGCACGTATTTACATATTTATTGACGTGAATTTTATTTTGTTCTTTACCTCCCTTCCTTTGTATGTCACCAAGGCAGCCAGTGGTTTGGCATAGAATCTGCTGTAGGAAAATCCCAGGCAACCGTACATACTGTTGGCCGTGAGCTTCAGAGCCTTCTGTCGGATGTCATACTGCAGGCCAACAACAACAAATGATGAACAACGCTAGCTGTGGCTACTTCAGCATTACATTGGGTATCTTTCCAGATCACAATGACAGAAAGAACCTCTCAATATTGGGGGTGGGGGGTGGGGGGGGTGTACTTAATACTCAATCTGTCTCCCCACATTCATGTTGCCCTACCCTCTTAGAAACAAGTACAAAGACTACTGATTTCCCAAGATTCTGTAAAACCTTGCTCAGATATGGCCTTAGCAGCTAGAGAAGCCTTCCAATCTGAGGCAGTTTAGTGTATCTGAATAGTTATTATTCCAAATAAAATAGGCACATGTACTTGCCCACACCATCCTATTCATCCTAGCCCTCAATAATCAAGTGACAGAAGCTGAAACTGTCAAGCAAACATCTTACAGTAGAAAGATTTACCTGAAGAACAAGGTCCGGATTTAAATCTTGCTGTTTCATTAGCTGTTTCACTTGTTTTCTCCGCTCGACCAGTTTCCGGATCTCTCTGGGCAAAATGCCCATATCTAAGTTTGGATCTGGCAACTCAGGGATCTGTTCCTGTTCCTCATCCTGAAAAACACACAATAGAAACTTCAGACAAATTAAACTTTGATAAAAAAGAAATAAACTTCTAAAGTAATATTTGACAAGTGCTTTATCCCATCACCACACCTTAGAAATGTTTCCGGTATGAGGAAATCAATAATGCATGAGCAGCCTCCAAAGGGGCTCATCTAGGTGTGGTGGTACCAGTCTATAGTCCCAGGATTTGGGAGGCTGAGGCAGACAGACCATCATGAGGTCAAGGCCAGCCTTGAGCCATAACATGTTCTGGGTCATTATGGGTTACAGAGTGAGTCCCTACCTCAAAGAAAAAAAAAAAAGCCAAACCAAAACAACAGAAACCACAAAGAACCCAAACAAGAAAAAGATCTGCGTGGTCGCAGACCACTGTCCCCCTGTACCCAGTTCTCTCAATTAGCCTGTATCATTACCACTATCTCTCAACCTTGTTGTTACTTACAAATTTAGATTTACTGTAAAAGGAGGATTTTTACAAATGTGGAGCAACATGTTTTGGGAAAATTGCTTTTGAAATACAAATGCTAAGAAAGAGTCCTAAGATTTAAAAAAAAAAAAACAGCAGCTAAACTCTTATTTTATAACATTTGTACAACTAAACAAAATGCTATAGAATGTTTCACAACAATTACTATAAATGCTTTTACTGTTAAAAATAAAGAAGTTATATACAAAATCAGCAAATCTCTTAAGATTTGGATCACATTTAAATAGGTCATGACATTTCTAAAAATTAATTCACATATACACACACACATATATTATATATATTCCTTAGTGTTTATGGAGTACCTTTTACCTATAAATTGCTTTGCAATCACCAGAATAGCAACATTTTAGAAAGGCAATCAGCAGTCTTCTTATATTAAAATTTACAGCAGGAAAAAGCAGGGAAAGCATTAGGGCTTTTTTCTTAAGCCTCCATTAATTCTATTAACAGGCTGCAAAGAACAGCCAGGCACAGTTACCCTTTGAAAGGTTCAAAATTAAAAATAAACCTTTTGGCTTAAAGCATGTCAAGTCAACGCCATTTGATAACCCAGCCTTTACAAAGTATCTGATTTTATGAAGATCAATATCATAAAATGAACACCCTTACAATACTAATAAGGACCTATTGTTTTCCAATATAGCACATGATGATAGCAAACCTATTAAAGAGACCGTGGTATACATTCTACTCTATTTACAGCAACTAGAGTCACATAAAAAGTAATCTGAAAGATTCTTGGGTCAGGAAATTTATAATTCATCTGAAGCCCTACCACCACCTCCAGGGTGACACTAACTGCTCTGAAAACCAAATAAGGTGCTGCACATGAAAATGATAAAGAATTCATAAATTACTACATGTATAATGCTTCTTAAGATGACCTCTTGGGTCGCTCCACTCTATTATATATCCAGAACCCAAAATGAAAAGTTCAAATAGGCAAAACATTGGTGGGCAACAGTTGTGAAAGCAGAACAATGTTAACTGTCACAGTGCTTGGGAAATAGCAGGACAGAGCCAAAGAGTATCAACGGCCGCTACTTGTTAGGTGGGTTGTCTATCCAATACTTTCCTTGTAAAATTATCCTCTAGTTCCACAGAGAGGTCCACTTTAGCAGTCAGACTTATAGTGAGTGAATTTACCCCCATGAACAGAAGTGATGGGACTAGGGATGATGACTGACTTGGGCAAGTCTATCAGATACTCTTTCTTCTGGGAATATGGAATTGGAACTGAAAAAAAAAACAATACCAGACATGTTGAAACTAAAGGATATATAAATTCAGAACCTGGAGGTCAAATGCGGAGAAAGCAGCAAGAAAAAGAAGGTGAGATGGATAAATGTGATGAGTAATAATCGTATGCTGCACTGAGACAGGATTATTGAAGAATGAAGTACTGGTATATGCTGCAACACAGATGACTCTTATAAACAATATGCTAAGTGAATAAGCCAAACACACACCAACAAAACACATTCTATATGATTCCATTTACATAGAATGTCCAAAGTAGGCAACTTTACAGTCAAGAAAGATTAGTGGTTTCTAGTGAGAAGACAAACCTCCAACAGATAGTTCCAAACTCCATGGCCTTGGTTAAGTTCAGTAAGTCAAACAAACAAACAAACAAACAAACAAAAAGACATGATTGTGGGAACGGGAGCTTGCAGAGAGAAAGGAGATAAAGGGTGGGGATGAGAGTAAACAGAACGCATTATATACATTCACAAAACTGCCAAAAAAATTAATAAAAATCTATAGTAAAAAATTTAATTGGCTGACTAGAGCTGGGATGGATAGAGGAACTTGATAGAGGTGACAGCTAAAAGGTTTTTTTAAAATAATAGAGCTGAATGAAGTAATGGTGTACAAACTATGAAGACACTAAAAACTATCACTGCACACTATAAATAGGTAGACTGTAAATGAATTATAGCTCTACAATGGTTTTTTAACAAAGACACAGAACCAGTCTAAATCTCTTTTTGGTCAGCCCTCCTTTAGATGATGAAGAAAGTATATAATTAGGGATGGAGATACAGTTCAGTGAGCAAAATGCTTACTAAGAAAGCATGACGACCTGAGTTCGTACACCACAACCTAGGAAAGAGCAGGCACATGGCCTGCAGGAATGTAAAAGGATTCTTTCGGGGGCTTTTGTTTTGAGACAAAGTTTTTCTAGGTAGCTCTGGCTGTCCTGGAACTCACTCTATAGACCAGGCTGGCCTCAAACTCAGAGATCCGCCTGTTTCTGCCTCCCGAGTACTGGGGTTAAAAGTATGTGCTGCCACCTCATGGCTAAAAGTTCTTAATGTACAAGCCTCACAGACTAAGTCTGATCCCCAGAGCCCACACTGAAAGGAGGGTTAAGTCCCAAAAGTTGTTTTCTAACCTCCACGTGCACATTTACATTGATGCACAAACAAAAATAATGAATATTTTGTAAAGCCAACATGGTGCTACACCCCTATAAACCAGTTGGAGGATGGGAGACTGAGACAGGCAGATCCCAGGAGCTCACTGGCCAGCCAGTCCAGTACAAATGACGAGCTCCAGGTTTAGTGAGAGACCCTGTATCAAACATTAAGGTGAAGAGTGACAGAGGAAGAGACTGGCAGTCAATGTCCAACCTCCACGCATACACGTACACACATGAATATACATGTACACAAAAACATACCAAAGAAAAAATGTTATTAATGCAACCATCAACAGGAAAAAGGAAAAACTATGATACTAACCACTTTGGCTCCTTTCTTTAAGGAATACTTTTAACACTGACTTCAAGAGCCCCCAGTTGAATACAAACCTCTGTAGCTTTCTGCACCTCTAAAGCAACTCTTTGTACTGTTGTAAAACAAATGTTAAATTCCTGAATGATGGAAGGATATAAACTGTTGAAATCCAGGAGCAAAATGAACTTGTCATAAAAACCTGAAACAAAAAAGCCACATAATGTCTAAAGAAAAGTGCCATCAAAATACCTCATTAAAAGTACTCTATATAGAGAATATATAACCATCCAGCACTGTACAGCAGATAAAAATGGGGGGCCGGGGTCAACTACAAATCCATAAAATGACTTAGATTACAGTAAAAATTCAGATCACAAAAAAATGGTGAAAAGACTGCCATATGTGGGAACCAGTGACAATCAGCCTGTTCCCAGCAGTCCCAAAGCACATCATTATGTGCAAACACCTTCCCTTGTTAATTGTTTTAGAAATGTATCATGTTCATTTCCCAAAAATACAGTTAAGCATTCTTTCCCACTACTCTCACCCCACCACAAATAAAAATGCAGTGAGTGGTTATATTACATATATATTTTTTACAACCTCACCTTTAAGAAATAAAATAGTCAGCACATTTACCTATACAAAAACTGTAAGATCAATCAAGAGATGAATACATAAATGTCAGTAGTGGAACGATCCACCCTCTCTTCTTGCAAAGGATGAACAGAAAGCTACTATATTTCTCTAGGACATTTATAAAAAGTTATCTTCACCTTGAGAAGAAACTGACAATATAAATGTCCACTGAAACAGAACTGCAAACTTGCATTGGTAACATACTCCTCATCTCTTTATCACACAATCCCACTTACTCCTTCTGCTCTTCTGTGGCAGATACCATCATATCCTTTTCACAGAAAAGGAAACTGAGGTTAAAAGAAATTAAATAGGCACCCAAACCAAAATCTGACACCAAAAGTATCACTCCTTGTCATTGCAACTAATAAAATTGCTTTTGTAAAAAATGTCTCCTTCTAAGTTACTTGATAAAATTCACATTAAATGTGACTATACATAATCATACTATTGAGCTATATACACTTGGAAACAATTAAGATGGTCTGAAAAACAATAAAGATGAACCTCTAAATATCACAAACCATCTTACCCTTCTGGATAACAAAGAAAAGGTGCTCTCCTATTAAATTTTAATTCAGTGGTTATGTGACTTACTTTAACATTGCTTTCCAAATTACCTGGCACACTGGGCAAAGATGAGGCCACTCTCACATAAAGAGGGAAAAATAGTTACATCTACTACAGGCCAAACAGAGACCTCTACATTAGAGCAGGGATTGGAACTGAATAAAGACCAAATTTGAGCTATTGTGTATTTTTCTATCACCTATAAACTAAGAATTTTCTAAACAGCTAAAAAAGTAAAATATATATGTAAGATATATGAAATTTAAATTTTAAGGTATGTAAGTAAAACTGTATTGACATATGGCAAAGAATTTATACTAATTCCATGTTAGGTAACTAGTAAACTAGATTTCATATGCATAAAAGATAAAACTAAGATCTTTAAGAAACCAGTTTGCTTACTTCCAAAATAAAACTAAGGTCTATTTTCTTAAATAAGGTCTATTTTCTTAAACTTCACTTCTATGTGAAGTTATTGCTTAATACAGTAGTTCTCAACCTGTGGGTCATGACCCCTTTGCAGGTTGACCAGCCCTTTTGCATGGGTCTCATAAGACCATCAGAAAACACAGATATTTACATTAAAATTCATAACAGTAGCAAAATTACAGTTATGAAGTAACAACAAAATAATTTTATGGTTGGATCACCACAACATGAGGAACTGTATTAAAGGGTCACAGCATTAGGAAGGTTGAGAAACTATCTTAATATCAGGGGCAAACCAATCTGCTACCAAGGCTCACCAACTTTGGGATCCAAAACCAAGCCTCCGGCATAAGCTGCTTTCTTACGTCCTTTCTTGTATTTACTGGTATCTCCATCAATTTCCTCTTCTTCATCTCCCTATTTCAAATGGAAAGAGTCCATCAACAGCTAGCAATGAATTACAATACTAGGTTACAAAAAATATTTACTTTTACTTAGTGGTCCTACCTACAGAGAAAAACTATTATCCTAATATGTTCATGAAATGCCAAGCATGGTAGTATCTTAAGTAAATAACCAGTTTTTTTAATTCTGTATTTAAATGTCTCTGAAATTCTAGAAATTTCATTTAAGGGTTAGAGAAATAGCTCAGCTAACAGAGTCCCTGCTTAGCACTTAGAAAACCCTGGTTCCATCACCAGCACCACATAAAACCAGATATGTGATGACACATACCTGTAAGCCCAGTGTTCGGAAGTTACAACCAGGAGGATCATAAATTCAAAGGCATTCTCAGATATACAAGAAGTTAGAGGTCAGCCTGAGCTACATTAGACCATGTCAAAATTTTTAAATATATGTGTGTGTGTGTATATATATGTATGTGTGTGTGTGTATACATATGTGTATATATATATGAGAGATAGAGAACAAAAAAAACTTTATTTTAAAATCAATAGGTATTAAAACGCTTCATGTTACATAAATTTTGAGATTATCAAGTTGTTGTTTTTTTTTTATTAAATTCACTACTCTGGCCAGGTGGTGGTGGCACATGCCTTTAATCCTAGTACTCAGGATACAGAGGCAGGTGGATCTCTGAGTTCAAGGCCAGCCTAGACTACAGAGCAAATTCTGGGACGGTCAGGGCTACACAGAGAAACTCTGTCTCAAAAAACAAAAAATCACTACTCTGTGGCAAGGGGATAAAACATTCTACTCATTCATTATCATTATTCTAATTAATACTACTTTTATGATATGGGGTCTTGGCATGTTATTCAAACTTCTGGGCTCAAGCAATCCTCTTGTCTCAACCTCCCTAGTAGCTAGGACTCCAGGAAGTACCATCAGGCATGGCTTATTGTCAGTATTAGTATGGATTCCTTAAAATAAGTATGCCCACAAAATGAAAAATCCATTTCCAAGTAGTTTATTAACAGCCAACATTCAACACCTCTGCAGAAGTTAAACAGATCTAAATTAATATTTGTTGTACTATTTTCAATAATGTGCATAAAAAATACAAGAAATGGAGTCACACTTTAATATTCAATTACCATTCTTAATTACTATCAGTGCTGATAAAATGGAAAATAGACTGTTTTAGTTCCAAAGTCGTAGAATATACTTCTGAAACCTGATTGGTGTCATAATCACACTAGTAGCAGGTTGTATGTCCCCAATCTCAAAATCTGACAATTTGTAAGTGTCAACATGACTCTACAAGCAGAAATTAGCACATGTCACCACATGTGTCAGGAGATTAAATACTATGAAATTACCTTTAGGTAATACACACATGCACGCATACACACACATACACACATATGAATCATAAATTAACTTTGTGTTTAGTCATAAATCCCATCCCAAGATTTCTCATTACGTATATGCAAACATTCTAAAATAAAATAAATAAATCTAAAACACTTCCAATCCCAAGCATTTTGGATTAGGGATACTCAACATATCTATAAATTACAACACAAAAACAAAAGCTCAAAGGTTAAAGCAACAAAAGATTTAACTGATATTTAGCTCTGGGTAAATCTTAGTGGGGGCAAATCCTTTCTATCTATGGTCATTTATCAAAATCTAATGAGGTCCTCAAGACATCTCACAAATAATTTTGCCTCTACAGAGAAAAGTAGAGAGGGAAACAACCACACAGACACAATGGAGCAAGCTTAAGAGTAATCTTAATTTACAGGGAATTACTAATAACTTTAAAAGCAGATGTCAAAGCACTTTTTTAAAAAAGACTACCTATGTAATAAAAAGGAGGAATAAGAAAAGGCAAAGTACTATACAATTTTGGACCCACCAGTTTTTGCTGAGATTTTCTGAAAATCTGCTTGTCAGGCACAATATAGTTGTTTTCATAAAATGCATGAAGCAACAAGAACTCGTTTCGTTCAGATCGTCCACCCATCAGTGTCCTGGACTATTAAACAGAATTTTTTTAACTTTGAGCTCAAAACCATCACAAACAAAAGCAAGGTTGAATCAGTTAATTTAATCATGGAACCTCCTTCAACTACTCATAGTAACAAAGGTTACTTTTTCTAAACTATTTCTAACTTTCTCTTTAAGCATTAAGGGAGAAAAAGGGAGCTTAAAATACTGTCAGTGTATCACTTCACCAAAAACATCCAGATGTTAGAGATAAGATCCTTATGTTCACCCAAATCTCTACATACTGCACCTGGCATTCCTCCCTTTCTCCCAACCAGTTGTTCCTTTTACAAAAGAAGCCCAGCTTTCAGAATCCCAGCTCCTCATTTTATAAGCATGCATTTAGGCTCATTATCATATAACAACTATCCCAAGTAAACACTGAATCCAACAGGAAATGCTTTCTCCCCCTTTCTAAGTTAAATTTACCATAATGTTCCCGGCGATGTTAGTGATCTGCAATGCTAATGGAAGAACATTTAGCTCACACATGATCTGCAAAATGAATCTGGCATCTTTCCAGATTTGTTCCAACAGGTACAACAGATGAGAAGATTCACTGTACAGAAAAGTAAGAATGAAATAGAATCAAGTAATTAAAAGATACAATGACTATAATCAAAACTTAAAATATTACAAGGAATTTTTGGTGTAAGTAACTTCAGAGCAATGGAACCTTGGCTTCAGAAATTACTTAAAATAAGGTGGCTAAATAATTAGAAATGCATTTATACCACCAATCCCAGTACCCTTCTCTCAACAAAAAAATCCATACAGTGAAATTATGTGTTAACTATAGCTTAAAATTTATCTAATGTTAACTATAACCTAAAAACTATCTAAATCCTTTTATTCATTCAATCAGTAAGTATATATTGCAATGCCTACTATGTATCAGCCACTGACTATGACCAAAGATACAAATTCCTGTCCTTGTGGGGGAAACAGAGTATTAAAAAAACATAAAAAGATAGTATTTATACAATGGTAAGTAAGTATTAAGGACAAACAAAGGGGTAAGAAACAAAGAAAATTTAAAGTTTCAGGAGCAGAAACTGAATTTTTACTTAAGAGAGCTAGGGGAAAAGTCACTGAAAACAAAGAACAAGAAATGACAGGACAGACCTTAGAGATGAGTATTTTAGGGAAGAAATGCACAAAGACTCTGAGTGAGGCACCAATCTAGCAGTTACAGGAACACAATGCAAGTCACTATGGCTGGATGGGGGCGTTGAGGGAAAAGCAGCAGAAGAACAGAAAATCAACACCACAAAGACACTATATAGGACCCAGTAAACTAAAGTAAGGACTTTACTCTGAGTAAAGGCAGTACCGCTAAGAAACTTTGATCAGACTTAATTTTAGCAGGATTACTCTGGTCTTGGATTAATTATGAAGAGACCTGAAGAGAGCAACAAAATTAGTACATAAACCCACTGCTCTGATTTGACGTAGTTTATTTCATTTGAAACTAGGGGGTAGGGTTTAATCCCCATTATGAAGTACTATGGGGACATACAAGGATAGACCCTCAGACTTTGGTGTTATTAGTACCATCAGCTACCATGATATGCTACAAATACTAAGGTACTTAAAATGAAGCCATTGAGGCTCCATGACTGAATACTGGTGACTTTATAAGTGAGATTAGAGAATATAGACATGAATGTACTTTTCACACACCAAATGATACCCTGAACAACTACACAACTCTGTCAGAAAAGATCCATCAATCTTGTACCTCCAGAACCATACACCAAAACAAACCTCCTTCCTTTTTTCCTTATCCAATATGCGGTATTGTGTTGTTATCAATAGAAAATAGACTAAGACATTCATTCAGTAATTCAGGGGGAAAGAGTATGGTGGCTTAGGGTAGGGTAGGTTCAGTGAAGGTTAAAGAAATACTAGGAGCTTTATTTAAAAGACAGGGCTGAAAAAGTCCCCTGATGGATCAACTGTGGGATATAAGACAGAGGAATCAAGGATGTCTAAGAGGTCTGGAGTAAAAGATGACTTTGAACACTTCCAGACAGTCATGAACATTCATAACTGTCATTGATACAGTTATGATAAAGACTAAAGAAAGAACCTAGGAAAGAAAAAAACAGTAGTTCAGTTTTTAACAAGCTGAAGGTTCATACTAGATATCAGGTAGGTGAATCTAGAATTTGGTGAGAGGTTTAAAGCAGAGACACGGTGGGAGGCAATAGGGCAAAATACCTAACTTAAATTATGCATCAGACAACCTAGATAGGAAAAACAGTTAAAAGAGAAGTAGCGGGAGGACTCAGGAGAAATAGGCTTAGAAAAGGGCCATAAGTAAACAGCTGGTGGCAGTGGCGCACACCTTTAATTGCAGCACTCAGGAGGCAAAAGCAGGCAGGTCGCTATGAGTTCAAGGTCAGCCTGGTCTACCTAGAGAATTCTAGGACAACCAGAGATATATAGCAAGACCATGTCTCAAACAAAAAAAAGTAAGCATGGACATGGTGGTTCAGATCTGTAATCCCATTACTCAGGATTCAAGTTCAAGACTAACCTGAACTACACAGCAGGATCCTATCTCCAAAAATCAAAAGATGCAAACAATATGTCTAAATTACTGCTTGGTTTTTACATTTCCAAAAATGCCCACAGTAATTCTTAAATACATGAGTTAAGGATGAAAATCTAAATTCTTATTAATTTACCAATTACTATTAGAAAACATCAAGAAGACAGATAAGGGAGATGGAGGTCTGTAGTTGGCTTTTTTGTTCATTTGCTTTTTTTTTTTTTAACTTTTTGTGGGTCCACCACCCAGATCCCAAATAAGTACATAGAGACTTATTCTTACTTATGAATGCCTGGCCTTTAGCTTGGCTTGTTTTTAGACAGCTTTTCTAACTTAAATTATCCCATTTCTCTTTAACTACATTTTGCCTCTGGGCTTTTTACCTTTCTTTATAAATCTTTCTTCCCTTCTTACTCCATGGCTGTCTGGACTCTGGTGTCCTCCTCTCCTCCTCCTTTTCTCCCTCCTCCCTCTCTTCCCTAAATTTCTCCTTATTTATTCTCTCTGCCTGCCAGCCCCACCTATTTCTCTCTCCTGCCTTGCTGTTGGCCCTTTAGCTCTTTATTAGACCAATCAGGTGTTTCAAGCAGGCAAAGTAACACAGCTTCACAGAGTTAAACAAATACAACATAAAAGAATGCAACATGTCTTTGCATCATTAAACAAATATTCCATAGCATAAACAAATATAATAAGTTTTGGTTTTACTCAACTACTGGGCAAGCCTCAATGAAACATTTCACAATTAGGATAAGAATTTATACTGTATCAAGCTGATAATAGAAAAATAAATTTTAAAAAAAGTGGAAAAAAAAGAAGCAAACAAAAGCCAAAAATGTCATTGCAGACAAAAGTAATATGTGAACTTTGATCATAGTTTAAAAAAAATGGCTGAAAACTGTTAGGTCATTAACATATCAAAGCAGATGCTGGCTCCAGGGTCTCCCTTCATCCCTCACAGGGCTTTCCTGACTAGCATACCCACCCCCAAACCCTGAACTCTCTCCAGCCCATGGACTTCCCTCCCCCCAGCTTCTCCAGCCCCTATATAAATCAGCCATTTTGGCTATGCCAGTCTCTTGGCCCAGGCCACCCCTCTCAGTCAGTGGTTCCTCTCCCATCACCCTTCTCAAATGGCCTAGGTCAGTGCCATATTCACTCTGGACTCTCCCAGATGTCCCTGCCTCTGGCTATGCTCTCCCTCATATCTGTAATAAACTTTCTCCTCCACCAAAAAAAAAAAAAAATGTAACACATCTTTTTTTTTTTTTTTTGGTTTTTCGAGACAGGGTTTCTCTGTGTAGCTTTGCGCCTTTCCTGGAGCTCACTTGGTAGCCCAGGCTGGCCTCGAACTCACAGAGATCCGCCTGCCTCTGCCTCCCGAGTGCTGGGATTAAAGGCGTGCGCCACCACCGCCCGGCAGACATCTTAAACTAATATTCCACAACAGAGGTCAACTGATTCAATTAGAATAATTCAAGAGATAAACTAATCTCAAGTATGAAAATAATGGATATGGTGGAACTGGTAAAGAGGGATTAATTTTCTGCTCCATGGCCCCAGTAACTGGCTGGTGTACCTCCAGTCTTAGGACAGTAGCGGCACCCTACTGTTGCTCTCTTCAAGAAAAATGAATTCTGAAGAATACAGGATCATACCTATACATATTTCGTATATTTTCTGCTGGAATTACAATCCTCTCAGTTTTCAAAATCTGTTGAACAAGTTCAGACAAATGGTAGCTTTTACAATGAATCAATTCTTTTGCTGAAATTTCCACATCACATATCATTCGGCCACAGGTAGCATTTCTTTCACCAAATCCACTCCGGCTCTAAAAGGCAGGAACAAAAACCAAATCCCATGAAGGAGCAAATACTGAGAACAATCTGTTCTAATCTATTTTGGAACTGTCCCCAAAATTACAATATTGAAATTCTCCTTCCACTCATAAGTCATGTGCTTTTGAATGAACACTTACTGTACATCTGATGATGTTCTAGGTACTCTGTATATCACAGTGAATAAAACAAAAATTCCTGATTATATAATCAAACATATACAACATAATCAAGAAGTCAAACACTTTTAGAAGGCAGTAAGTACATGGCAAAGGAGACATCACAGTAGAGTGAGAGGCAAGGAATTTGGAGGGAGTGCATCTTAGAGTGATCAGGGAACACCTTCCCGAGAAGATACCCTATAAAAAGAAAACTTGAGCTTTCCATGATGGTTTATATGCCTTCAATGCCCACTTGGAAGCTAATGCTTGGGGGATGGGGGAACTGCCATGACCAGCTTGGGATATAGAGTCAACTGCAGCCAACTCCCTATCCCCTCCCCATCTCAAAAAACAAATACCCAAACACAAAAATTTCAAAGGGAGTAGGGAAGCAGCAGCTCAACAAGTATTTGCATACGTGCTAAGAATGACCTTAAAGATATTAGCAAAGATAAAAGGAACTGTGGCCCAACTCTTCATGCCTAAGAACAGGCCCCAACTCTTGTCCTCTAGAGACCCCTGGAATTATATATAAAAGGTATAGATTCCTAAATTCTCTGCTGAAACAACATGTCTACTTTACTTGTAACCTTTAGGTAAAATAAGATTTCAAGTATAAGCACTATCACACTTAGTAAGAAAGTGCTTCATACAAGAAATATATGGGTACCAAAGCTCATATATGCAAGGATATCAAAAGAACAAAAAACATTAAGAGGCCAGCCTGAGCTACAGGAAACTCTCAAAAAAACAATAAAGAGTAAATGAAAAGAGAGAGGAAAGGGGGAAAGAAAGAATATGGCCTTGGGTTCTGAGCTCAAATCTCAGTTCTTTCTCTTTCTAGTTAAATTATTTCAAATGAGCCACACAAACCATTTGAGAATGTCTAAACACAAAAGTTGCTGAGAGGTAGCTCCAGCAGAAAGTACTTAGCTCCTTTCCACTAAATTTTCCCACTTGCAAGCTGAATAATAATCAATGATGTGAGAGCCTACCAAGCCTGCTCCAAAGGGCTATCCCTTTAAGAATGCCAAAGTGAGGGTAACATGCATGCACTATCTTTCATCACTGATTTAATTCTTATATTTAATTGCTGATTTTTAAAAGTACCAGTGGTTTTTATAAATACAATGCTGAATTCAAGAAAGACATCCAGTGCTAAAGTTAAAATAGCACTACAGAAGAGGTGGTAAAATTATCCCCAGAGTCGAGTCACTGATATAACAGCTTCACACATTAGTCATTTTTGCCTGAATTAATCACTTCATTAGAAGCTATAAAATGCTTTTGTAGTTCTGTCCATGTTTGTTAGTTATACTGTCTGTAAAATTAACTTTCCTTCATTAAGCTGCAGTATTTGGTTATGCTGTAAAAGTTTACAGGAAAAACAGGGTAAACACTAACTTCCTTCTTCTCACTGACGATTTTCTGTGTAGTGGGACTTTTAAGTGTTTTTTTCTCTTTACAGAACTTCATACAACAGAACAAAAGAGTGCATTCCCTAATAGCTATCCCATAGTTAAAAACCAAATAAAGAAGTGAAATTTGGAAATTATTACCCCAAGTTTTGGCATGTTGGATCGCCTCAGTCGACCTATCTTGGACCAGTAAGGAACTTTGCCCACATTAATTCTTTGCAGTAGCACTTCCAGTTCAAAACCACAAATATTATGACCCTAGTCAGAAAGAGACAGCCAATCATATAATGAACACAAATTAGAGGATTTGTCTTCAAATGCACAGAATTTCTTTGCCCTTTCTTTCTCTGGTCTCTAATTGAAGACATCAAAAGCTTACCTCCAATTGGGGTCCTTTCTCTTTCAGGAATTTATTCATCAGCAGCATTCATTAGTCTTGACATTAACTAGGCTGCTAAGGAATTCCTGGAATAAACTTTATTTTATACTAACTGATGCAAGGTTCATATGGTATCTTTTAATTTGCTGCTTAACACTCGCAAAGTTGGAGGCAAATGCAAACTTTAATGTCCCATACCTCTTATATGATCAATAAAAGCATCCTTAAAAATAGAAAACCTGTGTTGTATACGTTTACATAGGACTTCTAAGGAACTCTATCCAATTTCTTTAAAAACTGAGCATGAACACTACTGGGTTGGATCTTTAATCAATGTACAACAAAATATAAATACTAGTAAAAGTCTGATAAACTTAAAAGCAAGGAAACAAAACTAAACAGTAGAAAAGTTATGGGACTGGAGAGATGGGTCAGCAGTTAAGAGCACTGGCAGCTCTTCCAGAGGTCTTGAGTTCAATTCCCAGCAACCACATGATGGCTCACAAGCATCTTCTAGTGGGATCTGATGCCCTCTTTTGGCATGAAGTCAATAGAGCACTCATACGCATAAAATAAATAAATAAATCTTTAAAAAAAAAAGAAAAAGAAAAGTTACTTAACACAACATGAGTTTTCATTTCATAATTTCTAATTTATATCCTTTGAATAATATTTTTCACATAGCTCGGTTTAATAGAACTCAGAGGTGATTTCAAATAAATCAGATCAATCCATAGATAAATCATTTTAATTAAAGATATATACTACCACTTATAGTAAACAAAACCTTAGAGAAGAAAGTAGAACTAGTAATTCTCAGAGTCTGGAGAAATGGGGAAATAATGGTCTAGAGCGGTGGTTCTCAACCTTCCTAATGCTGTAAAAAATACAGTTCTTCATGTTGTGGTGACCCCCAACCATAAAGTTATTTTCATTGCCACTTCATAACTATAAGTTTGCTACTGTGATGAATTGTAATATAAATATCTGTTTTCCAATTGCCTTAGGCAACCCCTGTGAAAGGGTCATTCGACCCCTCCAAGGAGTCGCAACCCACATGTTAAGAACCACTGCTCTAAAGTTTTAATTCTAATATATAAAAAGCTACAGGGTTAGCAACACAGTAATAATGGAGGTGGTGACAGTTACACATTATGAATGAATATAGTACCAATAAATATACTCTTAAAGGTGGTCAAGATGACTAATTTTAGGTTATAAAAAAGCTTGCCGGGCAGTGGTGGTGCACGCCCTTAATCCCAGCACTGGGGAGGCAGAGGCAGGTGGGTCTCTGTGAGTTCAAGGCCAGCCTGGGCTACAGAGTGAGTTTTAGGAAAGGCGCAAAGCTACACAGAGAAACCCTGTCTTGGAAAAAAAAAAGTTTATCACCATATAAATGAATATGTATACATATTTATATATTTATGGCAGTTTATCTATTAAAAAAAGACCAGAGGGACAGGATGGAAACTTATTTCCAAATTATTATGGCTGGGCTCTTACAAGGATCCTATCTTACATCTTTTGTCATATACTTGTCTCTAATATCTTAGGCTGGGTATCCCAGGTTCTATAACATCTACTTGGGATTCAAAAGACTCTTTTAAAGGGTGGGTAAGGGTCTACTGCTAAGTCACAACATTGTAGACAAAATCTTCTTGGTACTTTAAAGACAGGTCCTGAAATAACATAAGGGCATACAGAGTTTGGCAAAAATCCATACACAGACATAAGCTACACCACTACCAGAGGAGGGATCCAACAAGAAAAATGAGATTGAAGACATAGTTCACATTCCCTTCTCTCTGGGCCTTCCACATAGTAAACCAGCACTCTACCACTGAACAATATTGACAGCCTCTCCATTTTTTTCTCAATGTCTACTTATCTCTAATTTGACATCACAAGGCATTGATATAACCAAATTAATAATATCACATTTAAAATATAGAATGGATAGCCTACCTACTGCTGAAAAAGCAAAAACAATATAATTTGATTAATCCATTAACCCAGACAAAAGAAAAAGAGGAATATTAATCAAGGAGCCACTAAACTAAGGGAGGTCAGAGGTATAGAAGAAAATGGGCTTTACTACAAGGAAAAGGTACAAACCAACAGTAAACTACTAGTTTCACAGTCTAATGAGAATACAGTAAACTGCCAAGATGAAAAAAAAAATCTCTACCTGAGCTCTCAAAGGAATATATCATAGAGATCCACTGAGCTCTTAAAGTTAAAATATTTACTTTTGTATTTGTAATTTGTTCCAAACCAAGCAAATCAATTAGAATTCTGAAGATACTGGCAATTTATACATATTCACTTATCAGTGTGCTGCAAGAATCTAGCAATTTATACATATATGCTTACTAATGTGCTACTTTCTAAATGTAGGTAACTGAATATCCTGAGCTGACTACTAATTCATGAGCTGTTTTCACACCAGGAAAAACTATCTAACATGGGCTAGGATTATCCCTTCTTAGATGAGCAAATCTCACCAATTCACAGGGTCATTTAATTCTGAAAACATCCTTTGATACTCAAAAGTAAATACCCAATAACAAGTAAACAACCAAGAAAGTCACACAGAAAATAATGAAGGAATGAAAACACTTCCCCATGACATGAACAAACATCTACTCACAACAAGAATATCAGGATCAATTTTGTGAACTTTTGCAAGGAAAAATCCTAGCAAAGTTCTTTCTGTTGCAGCAATTTCAACCTTCATATTCTGTTAAGATAAAAAAAAAAAACAATCAAGATTTTAAAATACCACATGCTTTACCTTCTTGCCAAACTAGGCTAAGATTTCTTAGGGTTAAACATAATCATTCACTTTAAAACCAGATATAGCAATGAAATTTGATTCCAGGTTCTGCATAATAATAACTGCACAAAATCTCTGAGGACCTCATTCTAGTAATATGCATGTAAATCAAGTAAAAATTTAAGTGCTAAGCAACATCGAGAGCAGAAATGTCCTTCCACAGAGACATGTTTGTACATTGGACACATTTTAAAGCATATAAATCAAAGTGCCTTTCAAAAACAATACTTTCATTGCTATATAATCCCTGGAAGACTTTGCTGCTTATGTATTTATCAAAGAAATCACAAAGATTCTATAAACTAGTCTCAAATAGTAGTGTTAGAACCAATAAATAAGAAACAAAAACAAACATGTACTGAAGAATTGCAATGCCTTAAATAGAAATTATACCTATTCACATGCCAAGTGGTGGTGGCGCACACCTTTAATCTCAGCACTTGGGAGACATAGGCAGGTGATCCTCTGTGAGTTCGAAGCCAGCCTGGTCTACAGACTGAGTTCTAGGACAGCCAGGACTGTTACACAGAGAAACCCTGTCTTGGGGAAAAAAATCTATCCTTACACAAAAGGCCTCGACTTGGATTAGTGAATATCTAGCAGGTATTCAAAACTGCTCATATTAAAACACTTTTAAAACAAAGGTTGACGACTATTATGTTTTCTGTAACTAGCTCCGATTTTAAAAATGTCAGTTTGATTTTAAGGGAATTTTCCTAGGTCATTTTATTTGAATAGGTTATTCAGGACAGTTCACAAATGACAGTAATACAACAGTAACACCTACCTAACAGTAACAGTCAATTGAAATAGCATTAAGTGGAACCTGACAAATTGCACCATCTAATTTGGTCAAGTTAGGATATTAACAAACAAAATAAACCTACAACTGTTTCAACACTATCATTTCACAAAACAATGTACTATTCAAAAACTACATCTTTTAGTGTAAATACATTTATTTTTATATAGAACTCAGTTCATTATACTGCTTCCCCCTGTCATTTTATTAAGGCCTTATGATACCAACTTCACAGAACATACTCAAGTTCAGAAATCATTGATGTGTTTGGGTCAACAAATATCAACTCTGCCAGTACATGGCCTTTTAATACCCACAGTATTCCTAACTCTACATGGTTTCCCTGAAGTTGGAGAGGGGCTCTACCCAACATGGTCCCAAAACATGTGATCACTTTAGAAAAGCTTCCATATATGCTAACTGAAGGTAGGTTTGAATGTATCCATGTCATTATTCCATCATCTGCAGATACTAATTTAAGAATTATTCAATGTGTTTAGTTTTATATTCCTACTGCATTTTATCAAGTTTAGTACCATAGACCAATATACCAAGAATAGATCTAATAAAGTAAAATATAGAATAGATACTATTTTCCTATTCTCTTTTCAAACAAACAGATATTATACATTTTAAGGGAATGAGTATTTACCTTTTTCTTAATGACTTCTTTGAAAGCACATGGGAAAATACAGTCCTTTGGTTTAGATACAACTATAAGAAGGAAAAAACAAGATTCTATCACTCATCTTAGACCAATTTGAGATAGTACATGCTTCTACATGGAAATTGTTTTAAATATAAATTTCTTATGAGCCCTAAAGAGTTAAGAAAGTCAAGATCTCCAATCAGCCATATTGTTGGACCTCAAAACAACAGCCAAGAAGAGATCCTTATGTCTCTATAACTGTGCAAAATGCTTTGATCCAACATATGCTTTCTATGCAAATAAGAATGGAAGGTTATAATAATCTTTCCCAAAGGAAATCGAATTACCACCAAAGCCTCAACCAGAACAAAAAAGAACTTAGTTCAACCTTCTCAAAACGGAGAGGTACAGTGGACCAAGGCTTCCCCTACTACACCATAGGCTTGTCCCATACATAGCAGGCATTCACACAGTGAAATACACAGTGGGGTTAAATAAATACATGCTGAAATGACCAAACAACTATTCTCTTCCATGTATTTCCTAATACTCAAAAAGCCAGACACAAGAGGCTGCTCAAAACAATCTCTGGTTCTGGAAATGTGAATCTTACTTCCCACTTTCGTTTTTTAAAAAATGCTTATTTAATCAACCAAGCTCTGAACCCATGTTCATGAAATGTCAGACTCTTTGAAGACCAACTCACAAAACACACACATATACCTCATAATATGGAACTGTTGCACCCATTGAATTTTATGCATAACACAATTCAATTCCAGTTTGGCATTACTATAATATCTCACAAATAGGTAAAAATTCATTTGTTCCTTGACATTTTTGCCTCATGACACATTTTGCTCAATAAAACTAAAGTTTCCACAGCTGACAGCAAGCATCTTTACAAAAATGCCCTAACTACTCTCAAAAACAAGTTTCAAAAGACAAAGTTACTGATCCAACATACAAAAAAAATCAAAAGACAAAAATCAAACTCTTAGCAACCCAACTTTAAAAATACATACCACAGAAATGCGTCTGAAAGGGAGGCTTTGGAGGTGCTTTATCTAATGGGAAACTGTGATGGACCAGAGCTGCAATCGCAATAATCTGCGAAGAAAGGAGTGGGGAAACTCAGATACCTACTATATGTTTTGCATTACCACAAGAACTACTAGGAATAATAAAACGTATTTTAATACATATAAATTCCTTTCACTTCTTTAAGAAAGTGTTTAAAGCTCTGACAAAGGGTTAGTATCTACAATATAGAGAGAACTAAGCACCAAGAAAACAAATAATCAAACTAAAAACTGGGCATGGAACTAAATAAAACTCAAGAAATACAAAATGGCTGAGAAGTGTTTTCAAGTGTTCAACATCCTTAGCTATCTGGGAAATGCAAATTAAAACAATGATGTCCACTAACGAATGAATACTGAAAATGTGGTCCATATATGCATGCATACACACACACACACACACACACACACACACACACACACACACACACACACACACACACACACAAATGGCTTATTATAAAATTTTCAGGCAATGGACAAAGCTGGAAATAATCATTCTGAGTGAGATAACCTAACCCCACATGTTTTCTCTCATATGTAGATGCTCTTTGACTCTTTAGAATGTGTGTTTAAATTGCAGTAGCCATAGAAGGTAGGAAACTAGTAAGCAGCCATGGGCAGGGGGAATTCAAGGGAAGTGGGATAGAACTCAGGTGATATGAACGAGAAAGAGGGAATAACTAACTGAACGGGAAGGGTTAAACATGATGGGTGATGGGAGCCCAGGTAAAGGAAAAAGTATATGGAGGGAGGTTAACTAACACTGAAGACATTCGAAAAAGCCATATGGGAACCTACTACTATAGAAGTTTCCTATAATATACACATACACATATATAAAAGGAGTTCAAATGGAGTTACTCCCTTACCAGGAGACAATGCCTCTCCCCGATACCACAGACTACCAAATACAAAGCCCAATGCCAGACATAAGTTGCCTCTTTTCAAGTTATTGGTCAGTGGGATCCCATACCTCACTCCAAACATTACAGGCTATTACCAATTATCTTGGTTACACTACAAAACTTGACAGGTAGACCCTATTACAAATGACAGCACATTCCTGAGTATAAACATGAAGAAATCAAGCTGGCACCAACATGCAAGTTTCATCCATACAGGCTAGTTTTAATAGTGCCATTAATCATAAGCGGATATTAGACACAAAGCAAAGGATAACCAGGCTACAATCCACAACCCCAGAGAACCTAGGTAACAAGGAGGACCCTAAGAGGGACACACATGGAGCGCCCTAGGAAGGGAAAATATTTAAGATCTCCTGGGTAAACCAGGAGTGGGGGTTGGAACAGAGGGCATAGGGGATGAGGGATTGAGATGGTTGAGTTGGGAGAGGGGCGGAGAAGGAGAGCAATGAAAGAGATATATTGATAAGAGGGAGCCATTACGGGGTTAGGAAAAAACTTGGTGCTGGGGAAATTCCAAGGAACCTACAAGGATAACCCCAGCTAAGACTCCTAGCAATAGTGGAGAGGATGCCTAAACTGGCCTTCCCCTGTAATGAGTTTAGTGACTACCCTAATTGTCATCATAGAACCTACATCTGTAACTGATGGAAGCAGATGCAGAGATCCACAGCTAAGCACCAGGCTGAGCTCCAGGAGTTCAGCTGGAGAGAGAGAGGAGGAATCATATGAGCAAAAGGAGTCAAGATCATGATGGGGAAAACCACAGAGACAGCTGATGTGAGCTAGTAGGAGCTCACAAACTTGGGACTGATAGCTGGGGAACCTGCATGGAACCAAACTATAAGCCCTCTGAATGTGGGTGACAGTTGTGTGGTTTAATCTGTTTGTGGGTCCCCTGGCAGTGGGACCAGGACTTATCAGGGTGCATGAACTGATTTTTTGGAGCCCCTTACCAATGGTGGGATACCTTGCTCAGCCTTGATGTAGGGGGGACAGGCTTGGTTGGCCCTGCTGTGACTTGGCATGCCAGACTTTGTTAACTCCCCTAAGGGAGGCCTTACCCCCTCTGAGGAATGGATTGGGGAAAGGGGAGCGGGGAGGGAACGGGAGAAGGGGAGAGAGGGGGAACTGTGGTTGTTATGTAAAATGAAAAAATTTTTAAATAAATAGAAAAAGAAATGCCCTACAGACTTGCCTACAGACAATGTGAATGGAGACACTTCCTCAATTGAGGTTCCTCTTCCCAAATAACTATCTTGTGTCAAGTTGGAAAACAAAAAAAATAATAAAAACAGAAACAAAAAAAAAAAAACACCAAGAACTAGTCAGCACACATATAAATGTTACAGGAGTAACCAACCACTTTCTGATTGGATTTTAAGCTTGTTCCATAAGACAGACCTTAAGACTGGTGCTGCCGATTGACTGGGTTATGACTCCCTAACTAGCTAGGTAATCGATCCTATAGGAGAACCTGATACTACTGTTCTGCTAAATGGAAATAGTATTAGATAGCCCCCCACAAGTTCTTATCTTTATACCCATAGAGTAGTGCATCTCTCATCCTTCATCAGAGAAGCTTCTCTTTGCAGTAGATGGTGATAAGTACAGAAATCCAAAACTAGTCAAAGTTGCAGAGAATAAGAGGCTGTGGAATGCTCACCTCTAAATGGGTATCTACATCACACCTTATTCCTCAAGGCTCAGGGATCATTGCAGAAGAGAGGGAAGAGAGACGCTAAGAGCCTGTGGTAGTTTGCATGTAATTGGCACCCATAAGCTCATATGGAGTGGCACTATTAGGAGGTGTGGCTTTGTTGGAGTAGTTATGGCCTTGTTGGAGGAAGTGTGTCACTGCAGGGATGAGCTTTGAGGTTTCGTATGCTCAGGATACCACCCAATGTGTCAGTCCACTTCCTGTTGCCTGCAAGATGTAGGACTCTCAGCTACTGAAGCACCACGTCTGCCTAGGTGCCACCACGCTTGCCACCATGCTGCCCAACATGATGATAATGGACTGAACCTCTGAAACTGTAAGCGAGCCACCCTAATTAAATGTTTTCTTATAAGAGTTGCTGTGGGCATGGTATCTCTTCACAGCAATGAAAGCCCTAACTAAGACAGAGCCAGAGACAGTGATTGTCAGCAATGAAACATTATTTGCTGGACATAACAGGTCCACTGCACACATGAACTGACAGTGACTATAACTGCCCATACAAAATCTACACCAAGATCAAACCAACCAAAATTCTAGCACAGATGAGAGAGGCTGGTGAAGTCCCACCCCTAGCTAAGAAGCTATTTTGGCAAGTGATGGATAAGGAGAGGGAAGAGTTTTTTTGTTTTTTTGTTTTTTTTTTTCAGGGACACAGCCTCTGAAAGGCTAACCATGTTCTAGTAGACAGACCTCTACTCATGCATATACAGGCAGTACTAAGTGAACTCAGAAAAAAAAGAGAGAACATATGCAAGTTGAGAGGGAAGCATGATGGGGAGATAGGAGAGGAACTGGAAAAAGGGAATGAGGAGGTGGATTGGATGAAAGAAAACACATATGCATGCTTAAGAGACTCCCAATTTAAAAAAAAAGGTGCGTGTGTGTGTGTGTGTGTGTGTGTGTGTGTGTGTGTGTGTGTGTCATGTGTGCAGGTATCCATGGAGACTAGAAAACGATATTAGATCCTCTGAAGCTGGAGTTACAGTTAGCTGTGAGCTGCCTGACATGGGTGCTAGAAAGCGAACTCTTCAAGAGCAGCATGGATTGTTAGCGACTAGGCCATCTCTCTAGGCTCTTTATTGTGAAAATATTTAAAGATATAAAATTGAGTAAAAATTATTAAAATTAATGCCCATATATTCATAATCAGGTTTCAATGATCATTTTTTCCTAGAACTATTTCAGTATGAGTCTTTGAAAGTGTTTTTCACCCTCAGTACTACTGGTATTTTGGGCCAAATAATTATTTATAGTGAGGGCTGTCCAGTCCACTATATGTTAAGACTTACTCACTAGGTACTAGTATTGCCACCCTTGTTTCCCATATATCTCTGAGTTATACCAACCCAAAACATCTCTCAACATTAACAAGCATACCTTCAACAGCCAAATCTTATCCTGTCAAAAACCATCACTCTAAAAGACCATTTTTTAAATGTGTCACTTTTTTAAATCTTTATTTTTATTTTATATGTATAGATGTTCTGCCTGTATGTATCTTTGTGTACCATAAGATGGTAAGACCCTATTACAAAACATACCACATGCTTAGGACATAGGACATGAAAAAAAAATCAAACTGGTAAACCAATGGAAGTTTCATCCCTGCAGGTTAGCTGTAATAGTGCCAGAAGGGTCTATTTATGCTACTAGGAGAGAAATGTATCGAACACTCTTATCCAGCTGTAAACCCTAGAAGCTACTAGCCTGGAGGTCAGAGTGAGTGTCGGACTCCCTGGGACTAGAGTTACAGTTCGTTGTGAGCTGCCGTGTGGGTGCAGGGATGAATCTAGCTATGTGGGAGTCAAAGTACAGAGATGAAGTAACAAACAACATGCCAGAACTCAGATTAAAAAATATGGGTTAATTTAAGTCATATGAACTAGTTAGGAAAAAGCCTAAGCTAAGGCCAAGCTTTCATAATTAATAATAAGTATCCAAGTCATTACTTGCAGGCTGGTGGTCCAAATATAGTTCAACAAGAAAGTTTGTTATACCAACCATGAAATTATTTCATTGCTACTTCAGAACTGTAATTTTGCTACTGTTATGAATCACAATGTAAATATCTCATATACAGGATATCTAATATGCGACCCCCAAAGGGGTAGCAACCAACAGGCTGAGAACTGATTTAGACCCATTTCACTAGGGATTATAATTTGGTAGTTTTTCCTCATCATGTACTGAAAACTTCTAAGAAGAGTAATTTCACACTTCTATTAGCTGGCTTCTAGAACTACTTATGCCAGAAAAGTCAGGACAAATACTTGATTCATTTATTTTTATGTTTTCAAATGAGTTAGTTCCTTAGATTTCCTCAGAAAGTGACTAATGTAGTGGTATTATTTGACATTTATGTATTTATTATAAATTAGGAATTTATGTTTCTGCTATTTCCATCTGTAGCAATTATTCTTCTGATGCTCATATTGTCCCATATTTTACGAGAAGACTTTTTTCAGCTTGTTTCCTGAGTCAGATGTATCTTCAGTAAATTTTAATATTGTCCATGCTTTATGATATAACAAAGTGCTACAGGTTTATCTTATACATTTCCTACTTTGAATCAGCTTTTTCTCCACAAATTCCTATTCTCTTTGTTAAGAAATGGTATGTGAAAAAAATCACTCTGGGAATGGATATTTCTCTTAAGTTGAACCAAGTACTAACTAAACCTTTCCTTAATACTTAAATATTAACTCTGTCTGTCTACTATGTTAACTGTTATTTGAAAGATCAAGGACAGGAGGCATAGCTCAGTGGTGAGCTTATCTTGTGCAAAGTCTTGAGTCAATCCTCAATACTACCAAAAATAAATAAGTTAATGAACAAATAAATAAAAGCTCAAATTACATGCTAAAAGAAAACACTGCCAATTTTTATTTTTTTAAAAGCGTAAGTATCAAGCCGGGCTGTGGTAGTGCACACCTTTAATCCCAGCACTCAGGAGGCAGAGGTAGGTGGATCTCTGTGAGTTCGAGACCAGCCTGGTCTGCAAAGCGAGTTCCAGGACAGCCAGGAATACACAGAGAAACCCTGTCTCAAAAAAACAAAAAAAGTATCAAAAATACTTAGAAACAAACATAAAGGAGCTTTAACTAACCAAAGTAAGACAACTACACCCATGAAAAAGAGTGAGCCAGGTGGGGCAGCAGTCCTGTAGCCAAAGCCATTTGGGAGACTGGGGTGGAAGGAGATCAGCAGCCTAGACATTCAAGACCTGGGCAACAGAGTAAGACCCCAACATCAGTAATAATAATGATGACGATGATGAATGTCATAGATTAAAACTAGTAAATACCCCACAAGTAACAGGACACAGATTGTTGAGCAGGCAAAGGTGCCTGCCACTAAGCCTGACAACCAGATTTCAATCTCTAGGATGAGGAAGAAAAAGAGAACTATCTCCTGTAAATTGTACTCTGACCTCCTTACACATGTTCTGACACATTTCACAAGCACACACACACACAAATATAATAAAAAATTGGAATTTCAAAAAATAAAAATTAATAACACAAAATATAGGGACACCATGAACACATACAATCTATGTGCAAAAAAGTCAAAACAGCAACAACTAAAGATAACTGATGCTTTAAGTTCCCAGCTTCCTACTCTGAAAATCTGCAATGAAAACATGTAGTCTGTTGTTCCTGTACAATGTAATCAAATAATTGCCAGTTAATGAAGGTAACTTTACAGAAAAATTTAACTCATAAACACAGACATAATTAGAAAGCCACCATTTTACAGCTCCTAGTGAAATAACAAACTCAGGCAAAAAAAAAACCCACATTAAGAAACCATTCGAAAGAACAATCAGACCACAACCCATAGAACCATGGAGGCTATATATATAGCACAAAGGTCCCTAGGACGACTGTGGCTTATAATAAATTTCGGTTTTACTCAATTATTGAAAAAAAATAGCCAAATGAATGGAAACACATGAACTATGAACCAAAGGCTGAGGGGCCCCCAGCTGGATCAGGCCCTCTGAATAGGTGAAACAGTTGATTGGCTTGATCTGTTTGGGAGGCATCTAGGCAGTGGTACCAGGTCCTGTGCTCATTGCATGAGTTGGCTGTTTGAAACCTGGAGCTTATGCAGGGACACTTGGCTCACTCTGGGAGGAGGGGACAGGACCTGCCTGGACTGAATCTACCAGGTTGATCGCAGTTCTCGGGGGAGGATTTGCCTTGGAGGAGGTGGGAATGGGGGGTAGGCTGGGGGTAAGGGGAGAGGGTGGGAAGGGGGAGAAGAGGGGAACCCGTGGCTGATATGTAGAACTGAATGGTATTGTAAAATAAAAGAAAAGAAAAAAAAAAGAAACCATTCGATCAGTGGCTCTCTACTGGGGTAAATGTACCTCCTTTTCCCTCTGCGCAATATCTAGCAATGGCTGTAGGAATTTTTCTGTTGTCACAACTAGGAGAAAGTGGTGCTACCTGCATCTAGTAGGCAGAGGCTAGAGATACTATTAAACATCCTGTGATGCATAGGACAGTGCTTCACAACAAAAAACCATTCAGCCCAAAACAGTTTAACCAGGCAATAATCTGCCTTCCAAAATGCTCCAATTTGAAGTACACTGGCCACCTACCCATGAATTATTCTGCATAAAAAAGTTGAACTTGAATCTCTTTGATACTTTAGAGTTAATATGCCACACTACAGCACAAAGGGCAGAACTGAGTTTGGCACATTGTCTCTATAAGGGGCCAGAAAGTAAATATTTTAGGCTCTTCAGACCATGTGACCTGTCATTGCTGTCTTATTGTTATTGTAGTGCAAATCTGAAAACCTACTGTGTCTCAATAAAATTTTAATTACAAAAACAGGTGGTAGGCTGAATTTAGCTCACAGGCTACTCTCTGTCAGCATCAGGTATATAAGATTCCTAATGGTACCACAACAAACATACACAGAAAATGGGACTTCCTATGAGATCATCATCAGTAGTTTTTTTAAAATTATTCCTTATCACTGAACAAACTAAAGGGGGATGAGAGGGAGCTACTACCATTTAAAAAGAGATTCCAGAGGCATAAAAATTAAATATTCATCTATGAATCTATTGTGTAAATCTGGATTCAAACAAATCAACTTTAAAAACCATTGTGAGAAGCAGATTCTTCCAAGTATGTGCAACTGTAGATTATATCAAGGAATCATAAGGTAATGTTAAGTATGCTAATAGGGTAATGTAAGAAAGTGTGCATTAAGTAAAGACTAGAGAGATGTCAGTCAGTTAAGTGCCTGCCAGACAAGCATGAGGACCTGAGCCTTGACCCCAAACATAACAAGCCAAAGGTGGTGGCATGTGTCTGTAACCTCAGTGCTAGGAAACAGGCAAATCCCTGAAGTTCCTTGACCAGGCCAAGTAACAGGATTGATGAGCTTCAGGTTCAGTGACAGACTCTATCTCAACAAATAAGGTAGAGCACTCAAGTAAAAGCACCCAATGTTGACCTCTGGCCTTGACATGCACAAACGTGTGTGCACACTTGTGCACAGCCTTACTGACAAATACATACACTACAAACACGCATAAGGAAAATGTGCATATTTGGAGAGAAGTATACCAAAGCATGCTGGGGTAAAATGACAGTATCTTTGAAGTACTTATGAAGGAAAAGGGAAAGAAGGCTATAAACATGTGTCACAAAACACTGCTAACTACCAAACACGTGTGACTGACATAAGGAGCTCATATTATTTCCTCTGTGTCTACTTAAAAGAACAAAATCAAAATATTTCCAGCAATTTAAATCCTTTAAAAATGTGTAATACCAGGCAAATTCAATTCGTTTTCTAAAACAGGGCTCAGTGCCAAGTTTGTACCCTTTCCCCTCCAAAAAGAACAACTTGCTTTTGTAAGAAAGCAGATCAAATTCAGGCAAGTATTGTATCTAAGGCCTAAGTACAAAATCTGCCATTTTCTTTACCTCATGCTCATGGGTCTTTACATTTTGCATTGTCTTCATGCTGAAAGACATTACCACAAGTGGAGGAGGACTGACATCTTTAATTACATTCACCAGGTCTGGTTTCAAAGCCACTGCCTCAAATTTACACCAACTGATTGGCTGATTCAATAGCTCTGAGAAAGAATAGATACAACATATCAATAACTTACTGAAAAAGAAAAGGTACTATAATTATGACATTTTTGATTAAAAGAGGTATTCTTCAAAGCTATTGTGTAATAAGAATGACATAGTATAACATCTAACTAAACATAAGCCACATTAGTGGGTAGTATGCTAATCCTTGTGTGTGTAAATATACTTATGTTCATTTGGGGAGTAAGGGAGGATAAATAGCTTTTATAATTTTTTTTCAAAGAATTCAAGATTGGCTTTAAAAATAACACCTGCCTTAGAGGAATTGAAAACATTTTAAAGAGATGTATGAAGGCAAAATAGTATCCTAGATACAAGTGCTAAAAAGATCAGGTAGCAAGTCAAAGAGTCCTGGCCACATTAGGTTGTGATTCCCTCCCCTCCAAAGGTCAGCAGTTCTTTCTGAAGAACAGCTGCACCTTATCAGCCAGGCTAAAAAAAAAACATATAAAAACCAACACAATGAGGGTCACCCAACTGCCTGCACTAAGGCCTCCCGCAGACTAAACTGTCAGGTATTAGAAAGTGATTCCAATGGCTAAAGATGGCTCAGTGGTTAAGAGCACTGGCTGCTCTTCCAGAGGACCCGGGTTCAATTCCCAGCAACCACATGGCAGCTCACAACTGTCTATAACTCCTGTTTCAGGGGATCTGATGCCTTCACACAGACATACACGCAGGCAAAACATTAATGTACATAAAATACAAATAATTAAATTACAAAAAAAGAAAATGACTCCAAGTATATTACCAAAATCACTCAAGGAAAACATTCAAGAAACAAACACACAAAAAAAGCAGAAACATTAAAATAATTAGACCAATTCCTTAACTGTCCTTTAAAAAATCTAAAGGAGGGTCCCATGGAAACCCCCAAACAATGCAGGCTGTTGTTAAAACAAAAGGCTGTTCTCAGCAAACTGATAGCAAGGCCCCATTGCCAAGGACATCACCCATACAACTCACTGTAGTGTCTTTGGTGCAGTAAGGTACTCTACAAGCTACCAGAAGAGAAATGTGGACAGCAACCCAGGTGCAAAACCTTTGACCTACAATCTGTCCCAGCTGCAAAATGTGCTATGGCAATGGTGGCACAGAACTTGTGGGAGTGGCCAACCAATGTCTGATTTGACCTAAGGCCCACTCGAAAAGAAGGAACCCACACCCAACACTGTTTGAGTAACCAAGAACCAGGAGATTAGATAGCCCAGAGACCTATGGTAAACCAAACACTACTGATAAAAAAAAGTATCAATAAAATGACTCCTAATGATATTCTGCTATATTCTTAGATAGTGCCTTTATCTTGTCATCATATGGCTTCCTATGGCAGCAGATAGGAACACAGCCACAGTGAGACATTATGTGTAGAGTCTCATTGGGAGGTCTCCATCAAATCCCTCCTCTCACCTATGGCAGAGATTCTAAGAACCAGAGGGGATGGATGACACCAGGAGAACAAGAACCTCTGAATCAACTAAGCAAGGCACATATGAGGTCAAAGAGACTGAAGTAGCAAGTGCAGGGCCTACAGGGGTCTCCACCAGGTCCTTTGTGTATATATCACAGCTATTAGCTTAGTATTTTTATGGGACTCCTGACCATGAGAACAAGTAGGTCTCTGATTCTTGTGCCTGCTCTTGGGACTCTTTTCTTCCTGTTAGGTTGCCGTGTCAAACTTCAACATGATAGTTTTTGCTTCATCTTATTACATTTTGACATGTTTGATTGTTATCTCTTAGAAGCCTGTTCTTTTCTAATAAGAGACAGACGGGAAGTGGCTCCAGAGGAGATGGGAGGTGGGGAGGAACTGGGAGGAATAGAGGGAGGAGAAACTATAATCAAGATATAGTGTATGAGAAAAGAATCTATTTTCAATAAAAGGAAAGAAAGGTTAAAAAAAAGTCCTTACGTGGATTTTTTACTTCAAGCCAACAAGGTCCTTTGATCTTTCTGTTCATCAAGAACAGTTCCAAGCTAGATGTGTTGGTTCCAAATACATGAGAAAATGTTTCACCTTTTAAATGCTGTGGAAGCTGTGGCATTTCCGCCTGAAGAAGAAAAAAAACTTTATTTTGTTTAAACTATTACTTCATATTTTCCAGTCTATATATGAAATAAACAATGCCTCTATGGAACAACAGAAGAACCCCTTTAATATATTTGAAATGTAATTTGCTACAAATGAAATCTGAAACAACTCACAGTGGGAAACAAAAACAATTCACAATGACAAAATAATGCATCTTGATGACACCCATTAGAAGAAAAATAGGACAATAAGTTCCTCCAAAAGAGAATGTCTGTCCAGAGCTGTTCTGCCTCACTGATAAAGAATAGCCAAGTAAGTACCATTCCACTAGAAGAATGAAAGCAATACAGTGGGACTCATAGAAAATGTTTCCATGTTATTTTTCATCATCACTACTGTAAAAAAAAAAATTCATTTTCCAACATCAGGATCAAAACATGAGAACAGAGGTAAAAGGGTAACTGCCCAGCTAATTAACACCCACAACAATGACTTTGCCTCTCAGAGGAGCAAGAACAGCACTGTAGCAATGCTACTAATACTCCTCTCTCACCTTTCCTCTGCTCACAAGACATTTCAGTAGACTGATGACATCCAACTCCATCATGCAGCATATCTATTCCACTTGACAAACAGTTGTGCTGTTTCAACTTACTTATTTGAAGATACATACTTGAAAGGCCATATAACCTATGCTCTATTACTTAATTTTATCAATTTCAATTATTAATGAACTGTGGGCTTCAGGAACTCTGCCAATACTCCTAACTAAAAGTCAGGTGAAGGATCAAAGATGGAAAAATGTCATTTTAAACCAAGCCCCACAATTTTCTTTGTTTGACTTACCGAGTATCTAACTTCCAAGTACTCAGATTTTTCTGGAACATCAGGTATCTCAAAAGCATAGTTCTTTTCCACTGTCTGGGTAAGCAGATATTTAAAAATTATCAGAACAAAAACTTTGCAAAAATTAAATCAGCCAGTATAATATAGATATATGTTCCCGTATTTCATCATCAGGAATCTAGCATCCTAACAGAACACAAAATAAAAAAAAATAAAAAAAAAAAACAGCTTTTCTCCTTTCGACTAATACTAAAATATCTACTGACAAAAATACTAAAGAACATCTCCTGAACACTAGAAAATTTAAGACATAGGTGCATACAAGGGGAACAATAAAAGATTGATTTTTTTACAATATTATTTGAAATTAAGCAACTACATCTTGCTGGAAAAATGAAATTGACATTACAAATTCAGCTCATAATACACTACTTCTGCAATTTTTGTTTTGGAGTTTATTGTTGCTGTCTGTCTGTAGTGATGGTGCTCAAATTTGGGGCTTTGTGTACTGTTTCTGGAATTTTAAAGATACGATTCTCAATTTCAAGCTCAAATAATTAAGAGAGTTAGCCTATCTTTAGCAACTCAATCCTCCCTTTACTGAAATCATTTATATAGTCAGTGTTTTCGATTGGGCTACAGTTCCCACATTTATAGCCAAAGGCATCAATAGCTTACCAAAATCAAGACAATATACCACACAGGTCACACAAAGCAAACATTTTCGCTCTATCAGAAACAGTATCATAAGCATGGATTTTTAAAGACAAAGCCTTACTCGTCCCCTTAAGCAAAAATGCATTGGCAATAACTAGTATAAACAAATCAGAATAGTTCTTCAATTCAGAAAAGGAATGCATGATATACTCCAAGCACTGGAAGCAACTAATTTGCTTCAAATCATCTTTCTATCAAATTCATGACCATTATTTCATAAGTGATTTTAAAAGAAACAAAGTAGTTTTGCAAATCTAACATACTGCTTTTATATTCATACCTATAAAATTTCCATTTAATGAGTTACAACTATGCAGAAGGCATTCTGCGTAAATATGCAGTTAACTATTTGTCAAATCAGGAAATAAACAAGAACCAGAAAAAAATACAGTATTGAATACAAACCTTGGACTTGAACTTCATTATTTTATATTTTGCTGCAATTTTTGAGTCAAATTCTTCATAAACATCCTTCATTGTAACTGGAGTTGTTGTTTCTTCGCCTGTGTTTAGGTCAATTTTCTGTTCTCCCACAGAAAGAAGAATGAAGGGAAAAGAGCGTAAGTCTTCTCATCCACGAAAAACAGAAGCCTAAATCAACTTGTACCTCCACTCATTTAAACATTGACTGGCACAGTCCTACCATGAGTTTGAAGACACAGACCTAAAAAGTATACTAAACTCAATGCCAAACCCTCCAGTTCATTATAAAGCCAATCAGAAATAAAGATGACCAATCCTCCAAGATAGAAAAAACAAATGTTTTAAATCCTGGCCCAGAAGTTCCACAGTTCAACTAAGATGGAAAGGGGCAAGATCTGAGGCTTAGAGGAATTAGAGATGTTAAAAGTCCAGACAAACAAGGGAAAGGAAATGGAAATGATTTTGTTAAATAGCCATAGAGATAATGTTACTGCTGCCTAAGGAGCAAAAGCATGAAAACTGAGTCAAATACCATGTCATGTTTCAGAGATTTTAAGTCACAAGCCCAAGTTTTATGCAAAAGGGTAGTAAGAAAAAAGGAAGCATTACAGATATTTTAAAATTTATTATTTTTAAAACTGTCTATGGAGCCTGGCATGGTGACACGTGTCTTTAATCTTGATGTTCATTAAGCAGAGGCAGGTGGATCCCCATAAGTTCAAGGCCAGCCTGGTCTATGTAGTGAGTTCCAGGCCAACCAGAGCTACGCAGTCCTTGTCTCAAAAATAAACAAACGACAAAAAAAAATTGTCTATGTGTGTCTATGTGTATGAGGGTGCCAGTGGAGTCTAGAAAGGGTGTTAGACCTCCTGGAGTTCCAGGGGGTTTCTAAGCTACCTGATGAGGGTGCCAGGGTTCGTACCAGCTCTTAACCTCTAAGCCATCTTTCTAGCCCCCAGCATTATATATTTTAAGCTTTTATTATAAAAAATTGAAAAGCTCAATAATGCTTCATTTCTATACTTTTTAAATTAAAATTGTGTCATATACAATTACTGAGATTAAAAGGTAATCACTAATGTTTACCATTTCACGGGGAAGAAAATAAAGTGTTCGCTCGATGTTTTTCACCATAACACAACAGCTCACATGGGTTTGGGCTGATTCAATCCATACTTTGCCAAACAGAAAAACCACACCTGAAAAAAAAGAAAAACAATAGGAAATAAAAGCTTTCAAGTACATTAAAGGGGCAAGTCAAAGGCCCAATGAATGTGTTCACATATTTACACCTAGTTCCTATTTGTAGTCCCTTCAGTTTTTCTAAGATCACCAGGTAATATAGAGTGTAGCATTAAAATGTGCTTTGCAGACATCAATTCACTATTCATGAAAACTGGCTGTCAAGTAAGGACTCCAAAGATTTGATAGTCAACTTAAGAGATGGTCAACTTAGCAAAATCTTGCAAAATCCTGGGCTCCATGAATTATGAGTAATCAACACAGCCACTCAAAACAGCCGCTGATCTTAGATACTAAGAAAATTCTGACACATGCAAAGGTTACTGTTCACAAGGCCAATTACCCTAGTTTCACAAGACAGCTCATCAGTGTTTTCTTTTGTCACTCATTCTAGCAGAAAGAAATAAGACCGCCTAAGGATTTTCATTTCTGTAGATGATTAAAATTCTTACAAGAGTTGTATAATTTTCAAGGAGGTGGGGGTATAAGTGGGGAAATAGAAGGAGAGGGGAAGGGGGTACTGAGGATAATTTAAAGAAAAAAATTCAAAGTGCACAGAAAATTAGAAGTCATCCTCACAACAGTTAAAGATAAAAAAACAAAATTCCATGCAAAGAAAAAATAAAGACCCTAATATTGGATTCAAAGATTCAAATAGCTCATTTTACAGTCAAACTAATATCACACTTCATGCAACACATTTGACACTGTTTATGCCTCATTTGCCACAAAAAGATCATGGTAAACAAAGATTACATCCCCCCCCCCAAGTTACTAGCTGAAACCAGGTGCAGTCAGGATTATTCAACCTTGAAAAAGTCATAATGAAGACAGGATATGTTCTGATATGCAAAGAGTAAGATTCTTTTCATAATTATGGTTCATTCAGCAATAACTGACTGACTTAGAATCTGGAAGAAAGTGAGCAACAATAACAGGGTCTTTAGGCATACTCTGTTCTTATTAGCAGCATTGACTTCACCAAAGCTTAGTGATCATTAGCAACTATCACGACGAAACTGTTCAACCCCCTAAGATTAAAGCTTTTAAAAGCTATTTTATTTAACCCATTGGCATCATAAACAGAAAAATATGCCACTGCAGAGGACACATCTTGAGAAGTGCCACAGAAGAGGAAAGTGGACTTCAAGTGAGAAGCTGAGACTTCTGGCAGGAAAGGGCCAAGGGTACTTTGTCTTTCAGAACCTGTTTTCTAAGTGAATAGTCTAGATAATTCCTGAGGCCTTTTTCTGAACCAGAAATTTCTTTGTGCCTCAGCATTTGTATTATGGAGCAGAGACAGCTCTTCCCATTGTTTAAAATAGTGGTGAATTAAAGTAGGTAAGATGACACAGGTCTACAGTTTTAGCTACTTGGGAAGCTGGGATAGAAGGGTCTCTAGAGCTCAGAAGTTTGAGGTCAACCTGAGCAGCAGTGATCCCAAAAAAATAAACTACTGCAAAATACATCCCATGCAATGTAGCTCAGTGGCAGAGCATGTGCTTAGAATTAGAATACGTAAGGTCCTGAATTCAATCTCCAGCATGACCGAAAAATAGTTTCCAGTATGGAACAAAAAAATCTGTGGATAAGATAAGATAAGAATCTATATCCACCCACCCCCATCAACACCTGTGGCAGGTTAGAGAACTGGCTCTGCCCCTCACCTGGGTAACACAACAGAGCCAACCCTGTTGGCTATGGGTAAACCAGCCCTAAAGTTATAAGCATGGAAGAGCTGTCCCCCCTATTCGTCTGTCATGCAGGGGTGTGGGTGGGGGAGATGCCTCCCTTTTCCCCCCCAACTGCTTGCAACAGACTAATGAGATGACCCTCCCCCTTGCCAGCTGCAGCACTCAGTAAAGCAGTACCTGCTCCTCCCCTAGGCACACAGCAAAGCTGGTCCTGTTGGAGGTGTGGGTGACCCAGCCCCGATGTTGAGAGCAAAGAAGAGCTGTCTGCATTACTCATCTGACATGTTCCCGCATGGGTGGAAGAGAGATCCCTCTCTCCGCCCCCTGCCCACCAATGCCTGAGACTGGTGGAGGAGCTGGCCCTGGAGTCATAAGAACAGCAGAGCTGTCCTTGCCCGTCACTAGCTGCATCACTCAGGAGAGGGGCCCCTGCACCACGCCTGGACACAGGTCAGTAGAGCGGACCCTAATAGTGCAGGTCGGGGAGAGCCAACTCTGATGGCATGAAAGCAGAACTGGCCCTGCTCCTAGCTCTTTGCTGCAAGGGGGAACTAGCCAGGGCAATGCTGGAGAGCTCCCCCTGGTGGTGAGGACAGGAGAGAACTGGTGGGCTGACCAATCCTGCAGCTACCCAGGCCCAGAACCAGGGTTAGGAATTGGCCTGCCCCAACATCCACCCCATCTATGATCTGCTGGAGCACATGAAGGGGCCAGTCCCGCAGATCCAAAGCTGCAGGATCTCCACGACACAGGGCAACAACAGAATATCCAAGAGGAGTCTCAGTGAGGGCCCAGCATTGATGGTATAGTAGAAGCCAGAGGTCTCGAACCAGACCAATGACTCTTTGCAACAAACACTTGCAAGTAAAGATATGTGGACAAAGTGGTTTACTGCGTGACTCACTGTGTCACACCTCAGCTTCCATGATGGGGATTTTTTTCTTTTTCCTTTTTTCTCTTAAATTTTGTTTTATTTTACGGGAGGGGGGCTTACAGGGGCAGGGGCAGATGCAAAGGGACAGGGAATGAATGGGATCAAAATGCATGATCTGAAAGACACATTGAATAAATAAAAATTTTAAAAAACCAAGAATCTAGCCGGGCGTGGTGGCGCACGCCTTTAATCCCAGCACTCGGGAGGCAGAGGCAGGCGGATCTCTGTGAGTTCGAGGCCAGCCTGGGCTACCAAGTGAGCTCCAGGAAAGGCGCAAAGCTACACAGAGAAACCCTGTCTCGAAAAAACCAAAAAAAAAAAAAAAAAAAAAACCAAGAATCTATAACCAAATAATCATGCCCTAGATAAAGTGGATTGGTTAAGATACCATTTCTGAGCTTGACTGTAACTGTCTAAGAAACTAAGATAGAGACACATGCTACCTAAGTGGTTCTGAGAGAGCATATAAATATTTGCTAAGAGGAAGTATATTAATGATCTGACAATTCCTCCCAGGAACCATTAACATTTTTCTAGGTAATATCCAGTTAGCTTTATGTACAACAGGTCTCCAAGTCAGTCATCCTTCTTACAAATTCACTTAACTAATATACAGTTATTCCCTTTAGTTTTATTAGATGCAGTCTCCAGGAAATCACTTTGAAATTACCACTTGAATCCACCACAAATCCCGAGATCTAAATGCAGACAATTCTATTTCAGATGTATATGGTATTTTATACTAATCAGACAGACCATACTGACTCTGATCCTTTAACTAAGATTCCTACCCTATACTGGGCCCACAGGAAATTCTCCTCATCTCTTAATTTAATCAAATCTATAAAGTCTATTTTAGAAGTTATAACCATATATAAGGATGCAGATGTCAGTATGCAAATATCTGAGGGTTTTTTTTTTAACATTTATGTGTTGGGGGAAGAGTATAGAAGTCCAAGGACAACCTGCAAGAGTTAATTCTCTCCTTTCACCATGTAGGTTCTAAGGATAGAACTCAGGTCACCAAGCTTAGTAGCCTTTACCTGTTAAGCCATTTCACCAGCTCCTTCCTGTACGTAGACAACTTAGAGAGGGTCCTTATGCTGCCTATAACACTTCAGTCTACAAAACTAAATTTTCCCACGGGTCTTAAGAAAAAACCAATACAGAGGGTGTGAACCCCAAGGCTAACAGGCAGCCAGCTAGCTACTCAAATGCAGTCCGTATACCCACAGCTAAGTCATTCTGGGCTAAATGCCAGGATTCATTTAATGAATCATGGTAAGTGAAAAGTTATTTTCCCTTCTATTTATGAGCAGAGAGGCTAAAGATGAAATAACACATTTCCACTACTTCATTTGGGGGTACATTTTAAATTTCTTAAAAAGTTACCCTGAAAAACTAGAATAAGACAGGTTCAATCTGGTAGCAGAGACACAGACTCAGAAACAGCCACAAAAAAGACAACTGGTCAGTTTAAGAAGGACCTTCTCAGACAGTTATATGTGTTCAAAATGGAATAATATAACTCTGACATCACATTGGTGTTCTGAGTTCCTCAGGTGATTTTTTTCCCCTGTAAGAGGGAACAGCAACATCCCTCACTGAATGCTCAGCCCTACAAATTTTTAAAGAATATTTTCTTTGTTCTGTTGTTGGGCAGCCACTTTAACCAACCAACTCCTAGCATTTTGTGAGTCAAGAATTCACAGAATTAGCTCATTAAAATGACCAGGGAGAAGCCCAGTGGTGACGCACACCTTTAATCCCAGTCAGCCTGGACTCCAATGCTAGTTCCAGGACAGCTAGGGCTACACAAAGAAACCCTGTCTCAGAAAGCCAAAAAAGAAAAAAAGAAAAAAAAAAAGAATGACCAGGGAGTCAGTCTTGCCTCCTATTTCCTGGCCCCATATAATCTACAATATTTTTATGTCTAAATATAGTTAAAATCCCTTTACTTTTTCTATTTCTGCCCAGCAACCAGGTTCCAATTACCCAACACCTCTACCCTGGACTAACTGGTCTTCTGGGCTTCCACATTTCTCTGCTACCCCACTTCAGCCTCCATGAGTGTATACACACACACACACACACACACACACACACACACACACACACACTTCTTCACACATGCCAGAGCATTCCTGTTAAAATGTAAAGTCAATTATGAGACTTTAACACACTGCAATTAAATCTTCTGATATTTCTCCAGGATTGAGTAAGACTGATATTTACTTGAGAAGGTTTTCAAGGCCTTTAGTATCTAGCTGTGCTAACTAGTTTTTTTGTCAACTTGACACAACCTAGAGTCATTTGGAAAAAGGGAGCCTCATTTGAGAAAATGCCCCCACAAGATTGAACTGTGGACAAGCCTGGGTGCACTTAGGACATTGATAATTGATGTGCAGGGCTTCAGCTCACTGGAGACGGTGGCACTCCTGAGCTGGTGTTCCCAGGTGCTATAAGAAAGCAGGCTGGGCCAGACGGTGGTGGTGGTGCACGCCTTTAATCCCAGCACTTGGGAAGCAGAGGCAGGCAGATCTCTGTGAGTTCAAGGCCAGCCTGGGCTACCAAGTGAGCTCCAGGAAAGGCGCAAAACTACACAGGAAAACCAAAAAAAAGAAAAAAAAGAAAAAGAAAAAGAAAAAGAAAAGAAAAGAAAAAGAAAAAGAAAAAGAAAAGAAAAGAAAAGAAAAGAAAAGAAAAGAAAAGAAAAGAAAAGAAAAGAAAGCAGGCTTAGCAAGCAAGCCACAAGGAGCAAAAAAGCCAGTAAGCAGTACCCTTCATGAGACCATGAAGTTCTGCTCTGACTTCCCTAGAAGATGGACCACAAACTATAAGAGGAAATAAACCCTTTCCTATTAAACTTGCCTTTGGTCATGGTGCTTTATCACAGCAATTGAAACTGTAACTAAAATACCAGCCTTTGGCCTTTATCATCAACTTCATTATTCATTATGCATCAATTTTGTCATTTCCAATGGTATTACAACCACACAGGCCTCCTTAGCCTCCTCCCTCTTTTAGGTCTTTGCACTTACTGGTTCCTTAAACTAAAGTGCCTTTACCTTAGCTTGATAAGTGCCTCATCTCAATCCAGGGTTCAATTCTTTTTTATTTTTTATTTATTCTTCTCTCATATATACATTCTTACCGCAGCTTCCCCCCCTCCACTCTTCTCAGTCATTCCCCCCACCTCCCTTCTCCCCAGATTCAGTTCCCCCATCTCCCTGCAGAAAGGAGCAGGCCTCCCAGGGACATCAACCGAACATGGCACAAGATACAAAAAACCAGGCACAAACCCTCACATCAAGGCTGGGCAAGGCAACCCAGTAGAAGGAAAAGGGTCCTAAGAGCAGGCAAAAGAGTCAGTGCTGTGGAATAATCCTTCTGTATACTGTGAAGATGTGTTGCTCTTGTTGTTAATAAAAACCTGATTGGCCAATAGTTAGGCAGGATTTTGGGGGCAGAGAGAATGCTGGGAAGAAGAAAGGGCAGAGTCAGGGAGTCACGAGAGTTGCAAGCCAGATGTGGAAGAAACATGGGAAATGCATAAATGAGGTAAACAAGCCTTAGGGCAGCACATAGATTAATAGAAAAGGGTTAATTTAAGTTATAAAAGATAACTAAAAAAAAAAACAAGCCTAAGTGATCGGCCAAGCATTTATAATTAATAATAAGTTTCTGAGTGGTTATTTGGGAGTGGCTGCCAGGATACAGAGAAATTCCACCTATAAGTCAGAAATACTCCCACTCCCACAGTTAGGAGTCCCCCTAAAACACCAAGCCAACAACCATAATGTATATGCAGACAACCTAGCACAAACCCATGCAGGCTGTGATTGCCACTTCAGTCTCTGTAAGCCCCTATGAACCCTGCTTAGTTGATTCCAGAGACCATGCTGTCCTGTAGGATTCAATTCTTAAGAAAGAGTCAATTGGTCACCCTCCAACTATCATCCACTCTCACCCCACTTAGAATATAAGCTTCTATATAAGGAATTTGACCAGCTTACTCACTCAACCTCAGTGTCTAGCACACAATGAATGTTCTCTGTTGTATAAAAATCCAAATTAGGCCAGGCGTGGTTGCACATGCCTTTAATCCCAGCACAGAGGAGGCAGAGCCAGGTGGATCTTGTGAGTTAAAGACCAGACTGGTCTACATATCAAGTTCCAAGACAGCTAAAGCTACATAATAGAGACCCTTTCTCAAAAAACAAAATAATATTTTTATTTTAAAATTATAGTTTTTTAAAAAATAATTAATTTAAAAGAGACAATTTACTATCTAATTTTATTAGAAAAACAAAGCCAATCAGAATCACTAAGGTATTTAAAGGAAAAGGCACTACACTCTGTAATAAGTCTAAGATTACCTTAGGTATGATTACCTGGTTGATTGTACGGATCTTCATAAGCATCCAGCCAATAAAATTGAAACACTTGTTCATCATCTGCCCCTTTTACCAATGGAAGATGATTGGAATCCACTTGGACTTCCTGAGCTAAGAAACTGTTTTCATCCTCCTGGTCCATGTCCCAACAAGAGACATCTGGGACAAAACTTTCTCTGTAGAAAGCACATTTTCAAAAACTTTATAAAATCCAACAGAATAATCAGAGTACTATTTTTCTGAAAAATCATAAAATGCACTTACAAGAAAGACGTGGTCCCTTTGTTAGGATCTGTCTCATGTTTCACCCTCTCTACTGGCTCACTCTCTTGGTCCCAAGTCTTGGCAGTCAGAGGCTCCCCATCTACCTCAGCTTCCATGGGCTCATCAAAGTCACCATCTTCAAACTCCATTATCCCTGACTCCTGCTCATCTTCTGGACACTCTGGCTGGGCCAGCTCTCCTGGAAACATCACCACATATTCCCACCACATGCTAGTACCAAGGGGCACAAAGCTTACTCAACATTGAAATAACAGCCTTTTCATACATTATACTTGTATTTCTCTTTAATCTTCATATTGGATGCTTTTAATTTTTACTACTATAAATTCAACCTTTCATGATTAGATGTGCCACCTTCAAAATTACCTCCACCCCTATATCACCAAGCCTCTATGTGTGGCTGTTATTGCTCAACAACTTGCACTTTTGCCTGACATGAGACTTACCAGCAAATTCAGTACATTTCAGAGGAATGGGAGTTAACAGAGGCTCCTTCCTGAGGACAGGGGAAGCAGGTTTTCCTGAAGGAATTGCCTGTAAATGTTTTTAAGTGTTTAGTCAGTCAGAACTGCATACTAAAAATATGCAACTGTCCTACCCTGACCAAAGATAATGACAGTTCCCACTTATAAAAAGATTTTGTGTATTATTAATGTAATGGCTTCAATTATTTTACTGTTACCTGGATTTACACAAAAAATACTTGTTTCCAGGAAGAAAATTATTGCATTTAACACAGTTGTAATACCTATAATAAACATGTACTAGTTACTACAAAATTTACTATGAAAAAAGCAGACACATGCTATTTTTGAAACACATGAAACTATGCATTGAATAGCAATTCTAATTTAAAAGAAACAAAACAAATTCAAAATGATCATCTCCTTCATACAGGCAAATAAAACTAATTTAAAGCAGAACAATAAATCAAGAAGGAGGATGTTTCTACTGACTTTACCTTAGAGGTGTGCACTGAGAAAGGATTGAGCAAAGCTCCAGTGGATCTTTTTTTCTTTGGTATCAATACAGGTGGTGGAGCTATTTGAGGTATCTAAAAGAAAGAGGAAGACAGGCATTTCACTGTCGTGCCTGGTTTACCACATAATAGAAAAAGTACATTTTTTTACTTATGCCCAATAAGTAAAGCATTTTCCTTACCTGCCCCCCCCCCAGACAGGATCCATGCTCATGTACTGCAGTTACTATAGCAACAATACTACAGAAATCACTAGAAAACCAGAATAAATATTTAATCCATTCCTAATTATTTTTTCTTTCAAGAATTTAACATACTCTCTTCACCTACCCTTTCAGGTATTACATTTAACATCCAGCAAAATAGAACTACATAGTGTTGGTATTCGTCAATTAATCAGTAGTTACTTAGAAAGAAGTACACCTCTAAACAAAAGCTTAGTCTTTATGAGATATGGCCAAATCTCAGAATTCACAGTATAACAGAGCCCGTTTGAGTGCTATCAAAGACAGCTCACTTACTCTTCCTTCACTCCCACTCAGAATTCAGAAAGGGGCTCTCATGCCCAAGTGTGCAGATTGACAGGCTTCAATCTATTTATGGAACATACACTATAGTAACTGAATATAAGCAATGAACATTCACAGAACCAACTCCTGGGTATATTCTTACTACTTCCAACACACACCCACACAGCCCATCTACATAATCCTAGAGCAGTAACAGTTGGAAACTCCTCACCTAAAAGAGTGAGAAGAAAATAATTTGAGGGCTTTTGTTTTCTTTTTGTATGTAGGGCGGGAAGATTCTGTGTGTGCATGCATGGTGGCATCCTGGCACTTGTCTTTTTAGTGATAGTCTGTCTGTTTTTTCAGTCTATGACCCTGCACAGCTTACAACTACAGGAAATTCACTTACCTCGGTGTTCAGATCCTGTAGAATGTCACCCAGCAGATCATCCTTGGACAAGTCCACTGTTTTCTGTATAGTATATAAAAATGTAAAGAAAGCTCAAATGAGAATGCTCTGGGTTGAACTTTTTCATGCAGACCACACACTCATCTCTGAAAGGAAAAACCTAACCCCATCAGTCCTTCACTGCTAACTCTCATCTACTACTCAGATTTTAACAATTACCTGCGCATATTTAATTTGTAAATTTATATTCCCTGCCTCTATTTTCATCTTTACTCCATAATTTCCTTGCTTGTCACTAAAACTAAACATACTGTCATTTCAGCATTTCTATTCAATTTTCTTTTTTCTCCTAAGTTACCTAACCACTGAGGTAACTATACTCACATAAAACCTAAATTCATCTTACAAAGTGCAATTCATAGAACACTACTCAAACATGTATTGAACACATACCATTTGAGCAATGAAAAATTAAATTCATTTCATAGAGGGAAAAGACACAATATAAGGAAACATGAAACTCACATCTGCAGTTTTCTTCCCAGCACTAGCAATGAACATTGCCTTGATATTGTTTGGTTTTGTCACTGAAGGTTTCTTTACATCCTTCCTGTCCTTTCTGTGTGCTTTGCCATCACTTCCTATTGAAATAGAGAGTATTCAGAAACATGCACTGGGTGGAAACCAAAGCCTAGTCACAATCACTCATTGTCTGTATATGAGAACTTAAGAAGAAAATAAATTAAGAATTCAAAATACAAAATTGGGAAATTCTGCATAAGGTACACATGAATGAATCTTTTCAATGAGACAAACTGAAGAAAACTCAAGACTGAATTACAAAAAGCAATGAAATATAATGAGTTAAGTGTGGGGAGTTAGGTGAGTAGTTGTCAGTAGGAATGCAAAGCTTTTGAAAAGGGGATAGCTTGCTGTCTTGCTTCCCAGAAAACTAAGAGAAAACTAATCTGGAACCAATAGCAGCTGGACACATGCTCTATGCTGTATCAAAACTGAGTGGCACAAGCATACTTGCTCATTCAAAGAAAACTTCTGTCTTCCCTTGTGGGCATGACTAAATCACCTATGAACTTTCCTAATACTGTCCATTTTAATATCACTTTCTGACTCATTCAAAAATACATATATAAATCTAAAAAGAAACAGGAATGACTAATTAAAACAGTACAGTAGCAGTATACACAGACTAGATGATATAAAAAAGTCTAAAGAAGGGCTGGAGAGATAGCTCAGAGGTTAAGAGCACTGACTGCTCTTCCAGAAGTCCTGAGTTCAATTCCCAGCAACCACATGGTGGCTCACAACCATCTGTAATGACATCTGGTGCCCTCTTCTGGCCTGCAGTCATACATGCTGTATACATAATAAATAAATAAATCTTAAAAAAAAAAAAAGTCTAAAGAAGCCGGGTAGTGGTGGTGGTGCACATCTTTAATCCTAGCACTCAGGAGGCAGAGGCAGGAGGATCTCTGCAAATTTGGGGCCAGCCTGGACTATATAGTGAGTTCCAGGACAGCCAGGACTACACAGAGAAACCATCTCAAAAAAACAAAAAAAAGTCTAAAGAAAGGTGTGACACTCCTATAAGAAGCCTATAAACACTCTTATGTCTCACTCTTTCCAAGTACCTCGCTTTCTAATAATCCATTCTTAATTCTATTAAAAATATCTTTTAATAACCTTCTACTCTGCTTCCTAAAAGGAAAAGTCTAGAGAACAACCCAACTACTTATGAAAATGTACTGTATAATAAAGTTGGCAACTCACATTACTTGAGTTTTCAATAAGCCATGTTGACTAACCATTTGTAAAGCAGTAAATCAGTATTAACACCAAAATGACAAATTTAAAAATAAAGTAACACGGTATTTTTGGAGGTGCTCAAAATTTTTAATAATTTTTTTTTGAAATTTTCTTTATTTCTTTTTGGTTTTTTAAGACAGTTTCTCTGTGTAACCCTGGCTGTCCTGGAACTCATTCTATAAACCAGGCTAGCCTGAAACTCTGGAACTCAAAGAGCTGCATGCCTCTGTCCTCCCAGTGGTGGGATTAAAGGTGTACACCACCACACCTGGCTGAAATTTTCAGACATATATACAATATATCTTAATGACATATAACCTCCAATTCCCTTGCCCCAACTTGCCCCGAGACCCTCCAACATATCTCTCTCCCAATTTCATGTCCTTTTCTACTATAACTCACTGAGTCCAGTTAATGCTGCCCATATGTACATCAGTGTGATACCAAAGTTCAGGCTTTATTCTCCCCCAAAGATTTCTAGTCTCCCTCCCTGCCAACCATCAACTGCCAATAGCTCCTCAATTAGGGGCAAAGTACTTTTTTCGGTTGTTGTTATTTATTTGGTTTGTTTTTTTTTTTTTATTGAAAATAGATTATTCTCTCATACAGTACATTCTGACCACAGTTTCCCCTCCCTCCACTTCTCCCAGCTCCTCCCCACCTCCCCTCTCCCCCAGATTCACTACCCCTCCTTTCCTCTTCAGAGAAGAGCAGACCTCCAAGAGATGACAGCCAAAAAGGATAAAACAAGATAAAATAAGACAAGGCAAAAGCCCTCCTATCTCAAATTTGACAATACATTGTTAGCAAGATTTGGGGGAAACAGACACTTGTACACTGTTTATGAAAATGTATAATTCCTACAAAGAACATAATTGGGCATAGTGGCTCAGGGTTGTGATCCTAGTATTCAACAAGCTGAGACAGGAGGACTCAAGAAGCTAAGACAGGAGGAGCTTGAGTTCAAAAATAACCTGTGCTAAATAAGCCCCTAAGTAAAAAAAACAAACAACAACCAAAAAAAAAAAAACCAGGGCTTAAGAGATGGGTTAAGGCAGCACCCACATGGCAGCTCACACCTGTCTGTAACTCCAGTTCCAGAATTTCTGACACCTTCACACAGACATATGTACAGGTAGAACACCATGAACATAAAATAAAAATATTTTTTTTAAAAAAGAGAAATGGGTTAAGGGTACTGGCTGTTCTTCCAAAGGACCCAAGTTCAATTCCCAGTACCTACATGATCACAATCACCTGTATAACTCTAGTTCCAGGGGATCTCATGACCTCTTCTGGCCTCTGTGGGTACCAGGCGTGCATTTGATGTGGACATACATGTAGATAAAACACGAACAAACTTTGAAAATGAAAATAAAAATAGGGGCTAGAAAGATGATTTAGAAGTTAAGAACACTTGTTGCTCTTACAGAAGACCCAGTTCAGTTCCCAGCACCCACATGGTGGTTCACAAGAATCCATAACTCCAGTTAAAGTTCCAGGGGATGTGATGCCTGCTCCTGACCTCCATGAGCATCAGGCATGCACGTGGTACACATACACACATGCAGACAAACTACTCATATACACTTAAAATAAATAAATCTTTAAAAAAAAACTTTTAAGATAATTAAAAAAGTTTCCATGTACACTTACTCTCTAAGCCAGCAATCTCATTTCTAGGAATTTTCCCTGAGGAAGGCAGGGAGTTACTGGATATGGTACTATTTGTAACAACAAATTATTGATTTAAGTGTTCTTCCAAGGAGTTCATTGTAATGAGTGCATACTTATACCATACAGCATCCACATGATGCTTTGCAGCTACAGGGACATAAAAACAAAGGAAAGATTTCTACACACTTTATGTATAACACTAGACTGCTTTTCAGGGTACCTCACTATGTGAAAGAAAACATGGAGAATAACTATCTATAGACACTATCTTTTGTGTAACAAAAATAAATCAAAACAACACACAAAATTCTTGATATATATCCCCCCAAACAAATAAAAGTGTTCAAGCAAAAACTTGAACACAATGTTCAAAGTTGCAGTAAGGACAATAAACAAAAGATGGAAATAACACAGATGCCCATCAACTAATGAACAGATAAACAAAATGTGATATATATATATATATATATATATATATATATATATATAAATGTGATATATATATATACCAAAATGTGATATATAACCATGTAAGAGTATATTATTCATTCATAAAAAGAAATAAAGCTCTAGCACATGCTATAACATGAATGAAATAAATTAACATTATGCTAAGACAAAGAAGTCAGACCCAAAAGGTCCATTATTGTTATGATTCCATTTATATGAAATATCCTAATAGAATAAGCAAATCCAGAGATAAAAGGTAGATCAATGGCTGCTAAGCACTGAAGGATTGGGGAGTGACTGCTTAATGAGTATTGGGCTTGCATCCAAAAGTGAAGGAATCAGAGAGTGGAAATGGCTGCACACATTGCAAAGTTACTAAAAGTCATGAACAATAAAAACATTTTTAATGTATTTTTCATGTGCCTGAACTGTGAAAACTGTAGGACATTTGTGAAGACTTTAAGAGAATTACTTGAAGGTCTTTAGCTTTTCATTGACATCATTTGAAATAATGTTTAAAATGCCAGTAAATAAAACTCAGGCTCTAAGACTGAATAGAGAGAGATCAACAGAGGTTTGAAACAAACAAGAAAGGCTTCATGAGAAGGCTTTAATCTCACCACTGTAGGTTAGTAGGATTTACCCAGAAAAAAGGAAGAAAATACTATAAATAAATATTGATGGGGAATTCTTTAGTGCTTTGTTTTACTGTGCATTCTCATTGATTTCTTTTCACTGGGATATAGTTGATATATTTTTCCACCTCTATGATATGCAGCCAATCCATGATGAGGTATTTTCAAATACAGTTGACCTTTTACTTCGAACCAAAATTCTGTAACTTCTCTATAAATTTTAAAGTAGATTGTTGAATTCTATTTCCCTTCGTAAATTCTTGTGATCTTACCTGGCTTCTGGCAAAGGATACTGCAACTGTAAAGAGCTATAGGTATGTGGTGGTACAAAATATGAAGTAAAACTTTCTAAGACTATCTGTTTTCTAGAATGTCAAAACTTCTCTTCACTGATATCTAATCAAGAAGAAAGAATAATACAATCATGGAAACACAATGATTGCTCCTTCACTCAAGAAATACTGCATACTTTCTTTGTACTGGCTACTGTGATCAAAACTGGAGCAACTGGGACATAGATCCTTTCTCTGAGATGCTCCTGTCCATTCCAACTTCCTACTACACAGGTGGCAAAATTAAAATCTAGACAGGTGATAGGATCAGGTCAATATCAGATCAAAATGATACAATTAATAATAGCACTGCCATAACTCAAGCATAATCTCTATACTTTAGTGGCAATGAGTACCTCCATTCCCCGGATCTGAATACAATTCCCCACTTAAAATGAGTCAAAATTCTAGGGATAAACAGCCAAGTCCAGGTTTATGATAGAAGTGTACATGATAAGTACTGAAACATCTTTGCCCTAAAAGCTGGTCAGTGTTCTAAGACTGGTAGGATCCTGTCAAAAGGATGATTAAAAGGACTCCACTACCCACCACCAGGCAGTGGTGGTGCATACCTTTAATCCCAGCACTTGGGAGGCAGAGGCAGGTGGATTTCTGTGAGTTTGAGGCCAGCCTAGTCTACAGAGTGAGTTCCAGGACTGGCTCCAAAGCTACAGAGAAACCCTGTCTCAAAAACAAACAAACAAACAAACAGAAAAGGACTCCACCAAACAAATGTGAACCTCAAAAGGAAAAATGAGAGTCTGGGGAAATGGCTCAGTAAGACCACTTGCTATGAAAGCAAGATGACCTGAGTTCAAATCTCCAGCACCCTAGTAATAACCAGGTGTGGCTGCATGCCTGTAACCCCAGTGCTGATGGGCAAATGAGTAGATTCAGGGAGTTCACTGTACAGCCAGCATAGCCAAAAATAGCAGACTTCAGACCCTGTCTAAAAGAATTAGGTGAAGAGTGAAAAGGGAAAATTCCCCAATGTCTTTTCTGGCCACTGGCACACTCACCCACATGTGTGCTCAGCAACCAACAGACACAAAAGGAAACATGCTAATGGATACTGAACTTCAATAGTGTATTTCTTAGAAATGTCCAGTTTTGATGTCATAATATAAAAGAACAGAGAGGCTGGGTGTGGTGATACCAGCAGTGCTTAATGAACACATGAGGCTTAGGCAAAAGGATCACTTGAGTTCAAGAGTTTGATAGCAGCCTGAGTAACATGGCAAGACCTTATCTCACAAAGCAATTAAATGAATAATTTAAAAATAATAGGAGAGAGGATCACCAATAGCTACTCAAAGCATTTGGTGAAGTTTTGTGAGGAAATCATCTATATACAATATACATGACTTAAAATCAACCTGTATCTACATAATTACAAAGGGATAAAGGGGGGCTGGAGAGATGTCTCAGTGGTTAAGAGCACTGACTGCTCTTCCAGAGGTCCTGAGTTCAATTGCCAGCACCCACATGGTGGCTCACAACCATCTGCAATGAGATCTGGCGCCCTCTTCTGGCCTGCAGTCATACATGCTGTATACATAATAAATAAATAAATCTTTTTTAAAAAAAAGGGATAAAGGAAGTTTTGCAAATAATCTGACATCGTCTTAACTAAGAAATCAAACATATTGTATTATCAATAATAATGGAATGAATGACATCTGGTCAATGGGAAGGTCTCTATTCCATTCATGCTGTAGATGTTGCCACATTGATTCTGAAATACATTTTACTGCTGCCAAAATATCTAACCTGAACCTAAGCACAAAGAAGCAGTCAGGAAAATCCCAGACATTGGAACATTCAACTAAACAAGTAGCCCTTTAAAAGTTTTGACATCGCTGGGCGGCGGCGGCGGCGGCAGCGCATGCCTTTAACCCCAGCACTCAGGAGGCAGAGGCAGGTGGATCTCTGTGAGTTCGAGGCCAGCCTGGGCAGAATGAGTTCTAGGAAAGGCGCAAAGCTACACAGAGAAACCTTGTCTCGAAAAACCAAAAAAAAAAAAAAAAAAAAAAAAAAGAAAAAAAGTTTTGACATCATGAAAGACAGAAAGAATGGGAAGAAGGGAGGTACAGCTGTTCAACACAAAATAAGACCAAAGAGTAAAGAGACATTAAAAACTAAAGTAAACTTTGCATCTTAAAAAAATTTATGGGAGCCAAGGAAATGACTCATCATTTCCTTGAGCAAGCCTGACACCCTGAGCTCAGTCCCCCGAAGCCAGGTTTTAAAAAATCTGGGGTGGAGTAGCATGCATCTATAATTGCAGCACTCCTACAGCCAAATGAGAGGCTAAGATAGGCGGATCAGCTACGCTGGGGTTGAGCTAGCCTGCAGTTCACAGCGGGAATCGACAGAATGAGAGAGCCTGCCTCCAAGCAAGGAGGAAGGAGAGAACTAACTCCAAACGTCCTGACCTCCACACGCACACTGCGGCACAGACATGCCAGTGCACTATTATGCCCTCTCCCTCCGTCCCTTTGTCTCTCACACACACAACAAATAAATATGTCAATAAATGCATTTAATTATAAAAGATATTTCTGCGCTAATTATCATCCTAACCAAGAAATCGAACTTATTACCAATAACAATTAGAATAAAATTTGTATATAATATAAAATAAATAATTAGAATAAAAAATAGAAATTTTTTCCTATAGACAACATGTTAGGTAAATACCATGAAAACAGTGCTATGGTTAAACAGACAAGCATCCTTACTCTTAGGAAATCACTGCTTAAGTTCAAAAAACTCACCCTAAAGTCCCTGCACATGTGGTTAGGAAAAGGAAAAGGAAGCAAATGTATAAAATGTTAATCCAAAATGAGGGTTATACCATTCAAAATTTCAATTAAAGCAAATTATTCCCCAGCAGGCTCCGTCACTTTTCACACACCTACGTGATGTTATCATCTACTAAATTTACTACTGGTTACCACACTATCAAGTTAACAACTACAACAAATGCATCATGTTTCAAGGAAGTTTACAGTTTTGTGTCCGGCTGCCTTCATAAATATCTTGGGACATAAACCTTTTTTTCTACTATACAATTATTAAAGAGCTAATCTAAGTACATCACCGGTAGGAATTAAAAGACATTACTTATTATTGCATCCCTCGAAATCTGCAATTCTAAAATTACTAAAGAACTGAAAATTTTAAAATAAGTACAAGATCAAAGTCTAACAGGAACATAATACTTTTTATTTCCTGCTGGAATTTTTGCTTCTTACATATAATTTTTCTACCCAACTGTCTGTCTATTAGAACATACTCTCAAAGGCAGACTGTATCAGAACACCAAGTCACTCCAAATTCTAGGCAATTCTTCAAATCTCAAAATGACATTTTTCAAAACAAAATGGAGGTACCTTTCCCAGAGGTGTCAAGTGCATCATCCTCAAGGTCATCGTCAAAAATCTCCCGGCCATCTTCCACATAGCCTGTACCATCTGAAAAAATAAAATTTCATATTGGAATCAAGTTTCTGAAAGTGGCCAAAAGCTGGGCATGGTGGTGCATCTCTGTAATCTCAGGACTCAGGAAACTAAGGCGGGAAGATTGCAAGCTTGAGACCAGTTACAAAAGGAGCTAGAGGACAACCAGAGCTACAGAGTAAAAGAAAGCCTGCCTCAAAGTAACAAAAAACAAGTGAACAATAGTATTTTACTCATGACTCAAAAATTCAAAACCCAAATACTTACCGACTCACTTTTTCTGGTCTGTTCCAATTTAAGTTTGGTAGAATTCTGTTCAAATGGGTATTAAAAAAAGATATAGCAGCATCCACCCAGCAGATTTAAGAGTCAAACCCTAAAGATATATAGCATATCTAGCTAGGTGAGCTCGAGAATTGATCTGATCCACAGGATCAAAAACTTTGCCACAGAAGGCTGCTTTATAGCCATTTTGCTCTACCAAAGAAAAGGAAATACCACAAGCGCTGGAAGGTATCCTAATTTCCAAGGGAAGACTAGCCACATAGTCGACCCCAATTACAGAAATAGGAGTCAGACATAGTCTTCATCTCATTTCTCTGGCCAAAATTCTCATGCTAAGAAATCAGAACCTATGCCGGGTGGTGGTGGTGGTGGTGGTGGTGGTGGTGGTGGTGCACACCTTTAATCCCAGCACTCAGGAAGCAGAGGCAGGTAGATCTCTGAGTTCAAGGCCAGCCTGGTCTACAGAGCTAGTTTCAGGACAGCCAGGGCTACAGAGAAACACTACCTCTGAAAAAGAAAGAGGAAGAGAGAGGGGGGAAGGGAAGAAAAGAAAAGAGAAGAAAAGAAAAGAAAAGAAAAGAAAAGAAAAGAAAAGAAAAGAAAAGAAAAGAAAAGAAAAAAGAGAAGAGAAGAGAAGAGAAGAGAAAAGAAAAAAGAAAAGAAAAGAAAAGAAAAGAAAAGAAAAGAAAAGAAAAGAAAAGAAAAGAAAAGAAAAGAAAAGAAAAGAAAAGAGCCGGCCGGTGGTGGTGGTGCACGCCTTTAATCCCAGCACTCGGGAGGCAGAGCCAGGTGGATCTCTGTGAGTTCGAGGCCAGCCTGGACTACCAAGTGAGTCCCAGGAAAGGCGCAAAGCTACACAGAGAAACCCTGTCTCGAAAAACCAAAAAAAAAAAAAAAAAAAAAAAAAAAAAAAAAAAGGGCAGGGGGGGCACACTCCTTTAATCCCAGCACTCGGGAGGCAGAGGCAGGCGGATCTCTGTGAGTTCGAGGCCAGCCTGGGCTACAGAGTGAGTTCCAGGAAAGGCGCAAAGCTACACAGAGAAACCCTGTCTCGAAAAAAAAAAAAAAGAAAGAAAGAAAAGAAAAGAACCCAGAAACCACTGAGGTTTATACAAGAACAAGGTGCTTTCTATGGCTCAAATTACATCTCACACTTACAGCCTGCTGTACTCTTCACAGCAACTCTGGAAGTTGGTCTCTTATCTCCAGAAAACTTGTGGCTTAGGTGATATTAACTGACTTACCCAAGGCTAGATGGAAAGTGGAAAAGGCAGAACCTGAAGTGTATCCCTTAATTCCACAGGCTATGGAACTGTGTGTTGGATCCACAGATTGGTAGTTCCTCACTATTCCTCTTTTTAGAGGACACTGATAACTGAATCCAGTGACTCAAGCATTCCCTTGTGGTGATATTTTATCTGTGCTTTAATAAATAAAGCTTGCCTGGAGATCAGAGGAATAAGCCAGCCATTATAAGTAAACACAAAAGTCAGGCAATGGAAGCACATGCCTTTAATCCTATCACTTGGCAGGCAAGTCTGGATCTCTGTGAGTTCAAGGCTACACTGCAAACAGAGCCAGGTGTGGTGGCACACGCCTTGAATTCCAACACTAGTTAACAATGGAAGTCTGGAGGTCTGTACAGACAGACAAGAAGTGACAGAGCTGGGCAGGAAGAGGAAATGATGCAGCTGGACAGAGAGCAAATCAGATGGCAGAACAGCAAGGCATATAGGCGTGGGTAGACATGAAGTCACTCGCATTTGGAAGCTGAGGTATTGATGAGGTGAGGTTAGCTTGTGGCTGTTCGTATTCCTCTGTTCTCTCTCAGGCTTTAACCCCTATAACTGGCTCAGTGTTTTTTATTTAATAAGAACATTTAGAAATTCATCTACATTCCCTCTTAATTCGTACATGGTCATGTTCTAGGGGATTTATTCTTAGGTATGTGCCTATTATTTTCTAAAGGGTTCTTAAATCAACTTCCTATTTTTATGCTTCTTCATCTTCAAAAACTAAGGAAAATCTAAACAAAAAATATGTAGCAATGCTGTGACACCATATATTGACTGTCAACCAAACTGACAGGATCCAGAAACACCTAATAGATAAGCCTCTGGGAGGTTCTCTAGATTAAGGTTAACTAAGGTGGGCAGCACCATTCCATAGATACCCTGGACTTAAATAGAAGAAAGCAAACAGAGTACAAAACATTCCTCTCTCTCTACTTACTGACTGCAGATAAAATGTCACTCCTGCCTTCCCAATGATGATGGACTAGAGCCTCAGACTGTGACCTAAATAAGCCTTGCCATCCTTAAGTTGATTTCATCAATTATTTTATCACAGCAAAGAGAAAGATAACTAATGAAAATGCCTCACATCTCCTCAGGCATAGCAACTGCCCCACATGACAATCAAGAAGTAACTAGAACAGTGCCGAGCAGGCAATTTCCTCCCACATACCGTCATCCACGATCCAGTCATCATCCTGACGTGCCTGAACCAGTTTCGAATACTGCTCTTCATCAACTTCTTCATAAACACTTGTGAGGTCCTCAACCTGCCATTACAAAGTTTATGGAAAAGCTTCAAATGGAGTGAAAGTGTTAAACAATTCTGATGAAAAAAAATTGTCAAATTGAAACTGGAATGGCAGCCTGATGGAGTAGCTGCAACCAAATCATGAGTTCTGACATTCAACACCACTGCAGGGTTTTCCTTAAATAGACATCAATTAACTTAGTATTCCTTTTAGGTGGGTGTTAACATAAGATATTAAATGATTCCATTAGCATAATACACTTGTCACACCATCAATTACTCATCTACTCCATAAAAAACAAACTGAATTATAGCCAATTCTTCATTAGCTGCTTTGGGGATTGTTCACATAATTTCTAGACTAGTTTTTCCTATACTTAACAAATGCATAAGGCATAGTGCAACTATTCACCACTAACTGACAAATGCCCTACAAAGACACTAATTTTAGTAACGGTTCAATTAACTAAATAAAATTCAAAGGAAATACCTTACTATGCCCTCCAAAAATGTGCAAAACAAATTTGCTCTATATTCAGTAGGCAAAGAAGAAATGGTTTTTGAGTGATCTGTTTGTCTTACCACTAATCCTCCCTGAAAGTGAGGCCTTGGAAGTAAATGGGGACCTAAGTGGGAAGTCCAGTGAAAGCAGTAAATTCTCAAATCACATTGGCCCATGAATATGAAAGTATCAGGACCACTTCTGCACAGTTAAAGCAATAAATGCACAGATGCACACCATTGCTGTAGCTATCCATAGTGACATGCCACTGACCTGCCAGATTGAGAATATGGCAGACCTCATTTAAAATTGTCCCCTCCTGGCTAGTCGATGGTGGTACACGCCTTTAATCCCAGCACTCGGGAGGCAGAGGCAGGCAGATCTCTCTGTGAGTTCGAGGCCAGCCTGGTCTACAAAGCAAGTTCCAGGATAGCCAGAGGTGTTACACAGAGAAACCCTGTCCTGGAAAAAAAACTGCCCCCTCATTAGGAGTCTGCCTTTTTAAAGGGGAAACATACCAAATATACCAGAAAAGCTAAGATCTTAGGAAAAAACTTGAACACAGCCTTGAGAGCCTAGTAGTTAACAGCTACTATAAAGAATAACTGCAAGATGGGGGTAAAGAGAGAGGGATCTGTGCTTAAGAGGATCTGAGTTCAGTTCCCAGCACCAAATGAGATGGTTCAGAACCACCTATAACTCCAGCTCCAAGAGATCAAACACCTTCTTCTGGCCTCCAGGGGCACCTGCACGCCCATGTGCAAACACATAGGCAGACACACACATATACATAAATAAAAATGTATTTTTAAAAGACACAAGGAAACTTTTATTCTGTCTTCTGCATGTGTGTTACTGAGGATAAACACAGGGCTTTTTTGCTCGTTAGACAAGTCCTCTACCACTAAGCCATATCCCAAGTCCAGTAGACTATCTTTAAAAAGCACACTGCTACTGACCAGCACAAACTCTTTTTAGAACTATACAATTAATAGTACCATGTATAAAGTGATTCAGCCACCTAACACCAACATCTGAAATGCCACAGAGAACTCCTTTATAGAAATTCCTATATTAAAAAAATGCTTTACTCACAAGGCAGTGGTGGCACCCACCTTTAATCCCAGCACTGAAGAAGCAGAGGCAGGAAGACCTCTGTGCATTTGAGGCCAGCCTGGTCTACAGAGTGAGTTCCAACCAAAGCTACACAGAGAAACCCTGTCTCAAAAACAAAAAAATTTACTCCTGCTTCAGAGTAATCCTTTTAGCAACTCTTTATGATCTTACAGCCTCACTTAACTTGAATGGTATCAAATGGCAAAATCCTTTCTATTTTCCTAATCCCCCAATACAATGCAGGCCAGAATTAAATGCGAATATCCCCAAGCCAGCTCACCTAGGTTCAAATAAAGACTCTTCCACTAGGATCTCACTAACCTTCCTGTGCCATGTTACTTCACCTGAAAAGTGTTGTTAATCATAACATCTATTTCATATGATCAGTGGGAAGATTTAATGAAAAGCATATTGGTAAAAGCACTTCAAATGTATGTTAACTCAGAAAGTATATTAGTTGCTATTATCTTCTAGTATTTATTAATCTCTTCCTACCTTTGGCAGTTAAGATACTCAAGAGTGTGGAAGGTGAGGCTAGACAATGTTATGGGTTCTGATTTTGACCTACAGGCCATAAAAAATGGTTTTTTTAAAAAAACAGTAAAGAGTATCCCATTCAATCTTACCAACAAAAAGAAATAAGGCCCAAATTTCCAATGCCGAACCCCATAGCAAATGAGCTTAAGAACAATTCTGAGAAAGTGCTTAGCTATACTACTTAATGTCATTAAAAGTAAAAACATCGGGCGATGGTGGCGCACACCTTTAATCCCAGCACTCGGGAGGCAGAGGCAGGCGGATCTTTGTGAGTTCGAGGCCAGCCTGGTCTCCAAAGTGAGTTCCAGGAAAGGCGCAATGCTACACAGAGAAACCCTGTCTCGAAAAAGCCAAAAAAAAAAAAAAAAAAAAAAAAGCAAAAACACTTCTCATTTCCCTTAAGCAAAGGGACATGCAGTATGCTAAATAAGGGGAAAACACGTGCAACTACTTTCATTTAAAATGGCATACAAAGCTCCAGACGACAACTTTAAAGGGTCTAGTACTCTCCATAATCTGTAACTCTACCTCATGCCACATATGTTAAATATTATGTTGTAAGAATCATAAGTCAGGCCTAGTGATACAGGCCCATAATTCTACCTACTAGGAAAACTTTAAGGCATTAGGATTACAAATTCAATGTTGGGCAGCAGGACACCTTTAGTCAGCACTTGGGAAGCGGAGGCAGGTAGATCTCTGTTGAGTTCGAGGCCAGTCTGGGCTACAAACCGAGTTCTAGGACAGCCAGGACTATTACACAGAGAAACCCTGTAACCCTGTCTAGAAAAACCAAAACAGGAAAAAAAAAAAAAGATTACAAATTCAAGACCACCATGAGCCATTTAAGTAAGCTCCAATCTCAAAACACAAAGTGAAAAAAGGTCTAGGAATGCAGCTCAGTGGTAGAATGCTTACCCAGCATGTAAGAGGTCCTAGATTGTACCTTTGGCCTCCCTACTCTGAAAAAATATTTTAAATATATTAATATTTCTAACAAGGTGAAGGTGACACAGAACTGCCTGCAGGCTGTAAATTAAATAAGACAGGATTAAAACATTACTTACTTCATATTTATACTTCTCACCAGCTTTAGCCTTTTTCAGTCTCTCTAAAGCTTCTTGGCGTCCTTTCTTCGATTTTCTTTCTCGACGAGCTCGAGAAGCTACAAAACTCCCTGAATCTGACACAGCTGAAAAACAAAACCAAGTATATGAGATGTTATAAAATTACCAGCCATATTCCCTCAATACCAAAGGATTGTTTCTAGACACTCATAACCAAGTGAGTATTTTTAGAATGTAAAATAATTCACAACACTCATGTCCAAATATGAAGATACTGTGACTCTCCAGAAATTTCCTCTAATTTCCAGTTAAAAGAGCTAAAGCCAATTATCTTGTTCACTTCTCTGTAGCTGTGATAAAATACTGACTACAAGGCTGGGCATGGCATCACACTCCTTTGATCTCAACACCCAGGAGGCAAGAGCAAGTGGATCTCTGAGTTCACAGCCAGCTGGTCTACATAGTGAGTTCCAGGATAGCCAGGGTTACACAGTGAGACCCTGTCTCAAAAACCAAAATAATAATAGTAGCAATAATAATAATAATAATAAAACCACTAACCATGAGCAACTTCAGGAAGAAAGGGTTTGTTTAGTTATTTACTTATTTATTTATTTATTTATTCATTTATTTATTTATTTTAATTTCATATTAAGTCAGGGAAGGAACCTTCAGTCAGGAACAGAAAAAAAATAAAGGAATGCTGCTTATTGATTTCCTCTCAAAACCACAATCAACTACCGTCCTTATATCTCATCTCCCAGGACCACCTACCCAGGGTTGGTACCTCCCACAGTGGACTGGGCCCTCCCACAGTAATAATCAATCAAGAAAATGCCTCCACGGACTTGCCTACAGACCAATCTGATGGTTTCTCAACTGAGGTTCCCTCTTCCCAGATGATCCTACTTTGTGTTAAAACTAAGCAGCACATGAGTTCTAGTCTTCCCCTAAAAAAGGAAAATCTCAAAATCATGTAGAGAAACATGAAAGATGGATATCAGATTCAACATTTCCATCAGAAGCAACAAGCCATGAGCAACCCAGAGAATCATAAAAGGACAATTTATTTGGTGTTCCATAATTAAAACAAAAGGAGTTAAATAGCATCTATTCTTTGCAAAGTACAAGATGCTACAGAACAGATATTAAAAAGACATAGTCCTTAAATTCAGAGACATACAATCTAACATGGGAGATGAGTAGCAAAGGGCTCTAAAACAATGGTAAATAGCATATGTGCTAATGGAGGTATACAGAAACCACCTGGAATGTCAGAGAAATAGACTGGCTGAAGGAATTTCAAAAGAGGGCTCAGATATTATGACAATATAGGACTACAGTAAAAATTCACAATGAATGAAATGCCCTTTGTAAAATTATTGAAATATAAGAAGACCTAGCCGGGCGGTGGTGGCACACACTTTTAATCCCAGCACTCGGGAGGCAGAGGCAGGTGGATCTCTGTGAGTAGGAGGCCAGCCTGGGCTACCAAGTGAGTTCCAGGAAAGGCGCAAAGCTACACAGAGAAACCCTGTCTCGAAAAACCAAAAAAAAAAAAAAAAAAAAAAAAAAAAAGACCTTGTGTTCACTCATTCAATTTTTGACCATCTATGCTTTGGATCATCACAAACTAGTCATCTCTCTCTCTCTGTGTCCCTCTGTGTCTCTGTCTGTGTCTGTCTGTCTCTCTCTCTCTCCATCCACAGAATTAAGACTTTTATACACATGATGAATAATCAAATCAACAATGCCTGGCAGCCATGAGTTTAGGCTCAGCATGACTGTCACATATGTCTGTGAAATTAAGTGTTTTATTTTATTTGATACTGATTGATTTATTAAGAGGAGTAATCACAGAAAAGGAGACATTGATAAGAGGCATCCTAAAAACATCCATGCTGGAACACTTGTGACATTAAGCTGTTTGACTAAGTGTCTGACTGAATCAGAAAATAAGATCTAAAGAATGTGTACACAATGTTGGCAATAAACTGTTGAAAACTATATCATAAAGGTAAAGTGTAATTACAGATCTTGTTTTCTCCCTAGCTTTCTGGAAATGGAATCTCTGTAGCATCTCAGTCTATTGTTTGATATTCACACCTGACTTTTAAATATATTTTCAGAAAGGCAGTAAGCAAAAATTAAAGAATGCAGATACTTGATGACAGTCATAAAATCTTGAGTGTCATTAAAATGATTAAAAAGAATCTTAAGTAGGCCTACATGAAAAGGGTTCAGAGATTATTGGGCATAGCCATTAAGAATGAATTCAGTGTATTCAGTTCAAGACCTTGACATCCCACAAACTCTCTAGATCTTAAACAGATTTACTCCACAGGCAAAAAACACTGCACCACTACACAAAGTCTGAAATACAAATACAAATAAGACAGCTTCCGTGTCCCCAAAGTTATCACAGTTAAGTAATACAAAAGGACATAAATGGTGCCATAGAAAAATAAGAATGCAGTGGAAATGGAGAGAACCATTAAGTCCAGGAAATTGAGGAAAGTTTCACAGGAGAGGTCTCCAGCAAGCCTAAAAACTGGAATAGAATTTCAACATCACAAAACAGGATAAAAAGTGACAGAAACAGAGGAAGAGGCCTGAGCCAAATTACAAAGAGAAGAAAGTGAAAAGTGTTTCCAGAAACTGAGAGAAAAGCCAGGGTGGAAGCTAATTTCCTTGTAAGAATACACAGCAAGTAGGAAAATTAGAGCCTAGATTCTAGATATTACGGAACAAATGTCCCAGTTCTGTCATTTTCAGTGGGCGACACGAGACCATTAGTAAGCCAGTTCATCGGTGAAGAGTTATCTTGTTTTATTTCATTTCACTGTTTTCTGAGACAGGGTCTCGCTAGGTAATCAGGCTGTCCTTAAATGATGATCCTCCAGCCCCAGCCTCCAAAGTGGTAGGACTGTAGGTATGTGCCTCAATGACAGGTTCGCCTTGTTAAGCTGCCTAGTATCTGAGACTGAGAAATTCTCTCCCTATGTCTTGAGGGTTCACAGAGCCTTTGACCTGCTCTAGTGGGTGCTCCTACAAGTGGGTATTCCTTCCCAGATGCCTTGTAGCTAGGCTATGGACATATAAAATAGTCTCTACCAATGACAAAGAGGGGCTCAGATTTTAAATTGGAGGCTAATGTTCCAAGGAAGGAGACATGCATTAAAAGGAAGTTTGCAAAAAAAAATAGCAACTACTACAGAACTGAAAATGTGAGGCCAGTATATCTCAAGGTATAAACTTCAATATCTGAGTATCTTTCCATAGTTGGCAATGACCTCCTCTCTGGCCCAGTTTTGTGGCACAATGGTAATCACTGTTTCTGGCTAAGCAGCCCCCAGATAGGCTTTCTAGTCCTACATGATCACTGCAAACAACATAGTATTCTAATAAATTTCTTTTATTTAAAGCAACTAGAGTTGGTTCCAGTAGCTGGCTTTTTTGATCATTATTAAACTCCCAATCTCTTTTCATACACAGGAAGAGCTACTTTTAAGACCCTTTCACACTCATGAAAAGGGGAAAACACATCTGCCCCCATAAAGCTGTAAGGATTAAAGAAGAATGGCTATCTCATTTTATATTTAGCAGTACAGAAGAAAATCAGTATGCATGTGTGAAGCGTGGTGTGTGTGTGTGTGTGTGTGTGTGTGTGTGTGTGTAGTTGTAAAATAATCAAAAACATATACACATACATACATTCCACACATCACACCTAGCCAATACTTTCGTCTAGCTCCAGAAAGCAAAAAATAAAGCAAGCAGTTTCCTCAGGGAAGAGTCAATGTGGCACTACATATGACTGTTGATTTTCTTCACTCCATGAAGGTAGAAGCCATATCCACTCTACCCATCATGCTAATGCCAGAGCCTGGCAGAATGCCTATGCCTAGTACCTACGTAATAAATATTTGCTGAACAAACCAATATACCAGATTTTTTTATCATTAAAAACCCCGATGGCTTTCTATGTACAACAGCTAATTACACACCTTACTATTTTTTTGCTACCACTGTCCATGTGTTCCCCCTTCCAACAAAAAAAAGTCTGTATTTTCTTTTTTTAAAACAATGTCTCTAATGCTTCATGTAAACAAGTTAGTAAAAAAGAATAACAATGGGGGGAAAAACACGAAGATTTTGTTTTCAAATCACCACTTGGAGTACCTCCACCCTCCCCAAAAGCAGGCAGAGACAGTAACCTGCAGCAGTCTTTCACATAACAATCTTTTCATCTGCTCTAAAGGAAAAATTCCAGTCACAAGTCCCCAGCAAATACTTAATCAACACCCTGACTTAAGAGGGGTCTCAAGATTGCACAGTATCCTCCAAAGAGTGATTTCTTGATGTTCACAGATGGAGTACAGTTTTTTAGGGTGAAGAAAGGGCTTAGAGACAAATCACTGATAGGGGGCTGCAGACTGTTGTTCATGTTCTCACATCTGACATCCCATTTGTAATCCTGGCTAGTCGACTCTCCAAAATAATTTGTCCTCAAAGAAAAGAGAAAGGCTAAGGAAATTTGGAACGTGTGATTTAAAACTAGCTGAATGCAAAGGAAACTGATTAGGCAGCAAGATCTCATTAATGGCGATGCACACTGAGTGACAGACAGGCCATGTGACGCTAGGCTAAGAAAGTATCTGATTTTAAGTTAGAACTGAAGTTAAGTCACACTTCAGTTGAACACTGCTTAAAATCAGAAATCAGACAAGGCCATCTGCATTTCTGAATCCTACTTCGGGAAATAACTTCAGGAAATAAAAGATTACTACTCACAAACTGCCTGATATACAGGGCATCCAAAATGCTACTCAACAGTTTTTTGGGTTGTTTTTTTTTTTTAACAAACTTCGCCCAAAATGACTACATCTGAATACTATTTCTATGCAGCACTTAAAGAATTTTCCCGCAGAATCTGAAAAATTCTTAACATATAAAGGCAAGATTCATTTGAATATGGTGACAGCGCTTGCAGCTCTCTCCTCTGTAATAATGCCAACAATTTTCCTGGGACTTCCTAGGAACGGAAGCACACGCATGCTCTATCCCGGACCTCAAACCGACACCTGAGAAGGGAGCAACGAAACAGTTCCAATCAGGGGAGAGCAAACGCTGCCGAGACAGGTTGCCGTGAAGTTGTAACCCGCACGTGTGTGCGACTCATCAAAGGAAAGGAAAATAGCCAACGAGAGCGGCGCCCGTCACCAGAGAAGGAAACCTCCCAAACAAAAATTCCTTCAGCCAGTGGCCCCACGAGGAAGCCCCGAGGGTCTCCGCCCAGAAAGATTAAAGTCACCCGCCAAAGAGACCTGAGGGGCGGTCCGAGAGCACGCCACCTTCGGAAGAATTAAAAGCAGAGACCCTCCGCCCCACTCCATCATGCCGCGACCCCCACACTCCCAACCAGATGCCCCGAGCAGCGCTCGGCGCTCACCGCTGGTGCCCAGTTCGCAGTCGTCGCCGTGGACTGGCGCCATGGTCAGGCAGTCTCCCGATTCCGCGCCAAGCAGCCCGAAACTGGCGCGGGGGCCGAGATAGGCGCCAGTACCGAAGCCAATCAGCGGCTCGGAAGGCTGTGGACTTCCGCCCGGAAGGCCACTGACGTGCAGCGCCGAGCCGCGCCCCGCCCCCGGCCTTCCCGCGGGAGCGCATTTGGCGCCCTGTGATGACCCCCGCGAGAAAAGCGGGAACCTCAGCGAGGCCTGAGGAGTTCTGGAGAAGGAAGCGGTCGGGCGCCGAAAAGAAATCCCCCCTAAAGACACTGCGCAGGCGCACGCATGCTACTAAAAAACCTGAAGGATTCGTGGGAAAGGGGTTCTCTGGTCATGAGAAATGATTTTCTGGGAAAAGAAATGCGGGCGGGCATAAAAGGAAAGGACACTGTCTCTGCCTCTCAGTCACTGCTCCGTGTCGGTCCTCCCCACCACCACCCCCCAAAAGAGACTTCCTCACCGTATACAATCTGATTCTTGCCTGGCCCCTTGTCTCTCCGAGTGTGGCTATCCACAAAAATGTATGTCATAACCGAAAAGTGTGTGCACCATCTTAAGCAAATGGCTAAAGTGGCCGCCTTCGAAAGCAACAATCTGACCTCATGAGTACTGATGTAATGCACTTGAAAAACAACAAAATGACTTACCTGGTTTGTGCTTGTTTTGAGCATTTGTTTACTTCTTTAAAGAGACAGTTAACAAAAAATACAATTTTCACCTCAAAGAAAAAAAAAGTTATCAGTAAACTTCACTCTTGGGAAGTTGAGACAAGAGGATAGTAACTTTGAACCCCAGATGGTCTACTAAGTTTGAAGCTGACATGAGCTACAGAGGAAGACCCTGCATCGAAAAAGAGAGATGGATACAGGGAAAAGAAGAGGGAAGGTTTAATGGTCAAACATTAAAAAGAAAAAAGAAATTGAGAAAACAAAAGATGGGAAGTGTTTAATGATATTTCACATTAGAAAGAACAAAGGGTAAATTGATATGTACATACTTAATTGCAACAATATATCAAATACTTATGTATATGAAATCCATAAGCAAAATGTGTATTTTGCCAAGATGATTGAGTTATAAATACTTTCTGTTTCTAATGTTCTCTTTAACATTGGGAGAATTTAGCACTCAGGTGGAGTCATGCTTGGGGTTTGAGTCACATTTCTCTATAACCTTGGCCTGGTTTCAGAGAACTAAGTTTCGTCTTTTATAAAATGTTTCTACTTATCTAAGGAATTATTGTGAAATTTAATTGAAAAAATATCTGTACAATGCTATTAAGATCCCATCATCTGGAGCAGTGAGATGGCCCGTGGGTAAAGGTGCTTGCTGCCCAGGCTGACTCTCTTCTCTGAGTCTGATCCTCTGAACCCACATGGTGGAAAGTAGAAGGAGAGAACTGACTTCCACAAGTTTTCCTCACACTTACACACACACACACACACACACACACACACACACACACACACACTCATACATACATACATGAGCACAAAATATGTAAATGAAATACATTTTTTTCCAAATTAAAGATCCCACCATCTGAGCTGGGTGCAAAGGCACATGCCTGTAACCTCAGCACTCAAGGTGCAGGAGGCGAACAGGTTCCAGGCCATTCTATGCTACATAGTAAGATCCTGTCTCCAAAAAAAAAAAAGTGCAGATTGTAATATGTATTATTATTTTGTCTCTTTGTAGGAAATGCCAGTAGAGAAAAGGACAAAAAATAAGAAAAAAAAAAAAAAAAAAAAAAGGCCACCACCTAAAAGACAGCTAACGATTTTAAGAGGGTGTTATTATCAATGTAACCAAGTAACCAAAGGGATATAACAGTCAAAATTATGAAATCAAGTGTTTCAATTAGCAGAAACTTTGATCAGTTAATACATTTGATTATGATAAACTTTTTTATGTTGGTGCTTAACACACACTGACCACACTGTCCTTCCTAACTAACCAGCTCAGATGGTGGGATCTTTAATTTGGAAAAAAAATGTATTTCATTTACATATTTGTGCTCGTGTGTGTGTGTGTGTGTGTGTGTGTGTGTGTGTGTGTGTGTGTAAGTGTGAGGAAAACTTGTGGAAGTCACTTCTCTCCTTCTACTTTCCACCATGTGGGTTCAGAGGATCAGACTCAGAGAAGAGAGTCAGCCTGGGCAGCAAGCAAGACATCTATCTATGTTCTTCTTTCTTCTTAGTAATGGAACATGAATTTTCAGCTAGGTGCATTGACAAAAAAGAACACTGTATTTCCAGGCTTTCTGTACCAAGAAAAAGGCTTAGCTATGCAACAAATTTCTATACCACAAAAATGTGGTTTCACTATGGAGTGCTGGGAAAATCTTTTTTTCTTTTATTTTCTTTTTCTCCCCCTTCTCTTTTTGTCTTTTCCAGCAACACAGATTTGATGGCTGAAGGTCCTGCAGCCATCTTGGGTCATGGAATGACTGGAAAGGAAAGTCACATGCTGAAAATGTGGAACAGAATGATAAGATATGGGTCCCCAAATATGGGCCACCATAACACACTTAAGCTGACTAACTCCAGACTTCTACATGAAAGAGAAGTAAATATCAAACATATTTAAAAGCACTAATTTTGAGTTTTCTATTATATTTAGTGGAACCTATTTCTATAAAATAAACTTCTTTTTTACTTTCACCTTTTTCTTACTTATTGAAACTTAATAAAATAGGTACTAGATGAGAGATCCAGCCTCTTGATTTGTATCACACCAAAGCTGATACCCTTTTTCCATTGCACAACTGTCTCTGGTGAATGCCAGTCTATTTCATTTAAATGACAGTAACCATTGAGAGCAGACAAATAACTCCACAGCATCCATTCATTCACCAAATGTTCATCAAGTGCCTATTTCTGGTATTGCTCAAGGCTCTGGAGATATGTTGGGCAAGAATAATTTTTCTGGAGATTATTTTCTACTTCAGCAATCTTTCTTTTATAAACTAGATTTTTTTTTCTTTGAGAGAGAAGAAATAGGAGCAGAGAAGAGACAAAGTGGGGAAAGGAAGGACCTGGGGGTGGGGCAGGAAACAACTACACTAGTGTTGTTTTATCTTTGGCACAGTGACTATGCCTTAATCTACTGCTATCTCAGCCAGCAATTGCAACTTTGCAGTTACCAACCTGCTTCTCTAGCAGTGGCCTGGCTGCTCAGGCTGCAGCCTGGAGAGAATTCTGTTCTGACAGGCAGCGGCTCTGTCGCTGCTGCTAAAGGTAGTTTTAACTATAAATATATATATAGTCTTATATAAATAAGACTCGAGATTCAAAGGCTGGGGTGAAAACCTGCTAGCTCAGGGAGGTTGAGTAGTGCCTAGCTAACCTTCTCTCTTTGCTGGTGTCTCCCAAAAAAAGCAGTCTTCCACTCTGTCAAACAACAACAGAAAACCCTGTGCTACTCCAAACCACTCCCTTCTTCCGGTGCATCTCTCTGTCTCTTCCAGATGCCCTCTGATGCTCTATGTTACTTTCTGTTAGCTAGTTGCTAATTTAGCCTCCTGACCCAAGATTAATTTTATTTAATTAACACAAATGCAAACTTGGGGTTCACAGTGTGAGCAAATGTCCCCCAACACACTAGCCAATGAGATTATATTCTGACATGCTTCCTAGGTATGCTTCTTATAGAAAATCACCAAATTAGCACTTTGGTCTCAATATCTATGTGAGTTTGTTCACATGAATCTAGACCCTGTGCCTGATTTTCTTTAGGTAATATTGGCAAAATCAGCTTTAGGGTCATAGAAAGATTCTAAGCTCAACCAGGCAATGTTATATATTCGTAGCTGTGAAAGGACCATCTACTAGCTGGAAAAAAATAGTAACAGAACTTGCATAATATGCTCTTAATGGTCCACAAAGAGTCTGAGTGACAGGAGGGATATAGAACTGTGCCCAAGTTCAAACCATTTCCCCTTCTGCATAAAATGTAAAAGCCTTCTCTTGTCTTACCTCCCTAAAAAGATGCATGGCACTGATGACTACCAAAGGGCTTCTCCTCCTATTCCTGGACAAAGCACACCACTCTGGATGACATTTGCTACTCTGTGCCCATGAGGTGCTGTAGTGTCTGATCCTAATGGAGTTTGGTTGAGTCCTTGGCCTAACAGCAAGTACTCTGAGACTGAGACCAACTGAGTCAACACCCAATAGAGATGATTTAGCTCAAAATGAAATCCATGTCACCTCTAAAACAAGAATGAATGAGACCATCCAAATCAGGGACCAGACAGACTGGAATCAATGAATCTAACAAGGGACAGAGAAAAACAGGTACATATCAGGGTTTCCCTAGCTTTAACACAAATAATCTCTTAATTAATTCACAGTAGATGTATGTTATTATTCTGGCTGCCCAGTATCTTGCTGTCTGTGGGTCACTTTCTATATTCTGGATTTTGGAGGAGACAAACTATCAGCCTACAAACGGAAAGTGTTTCTGTCCCAGCAATGCTGCTAGCTACAGCATGAACGTGTCTCACTAGCCATTTCCATAAGGGATTTTGATTTTGGAGCTAGTGACACACACACACACACACACACACACACACACACACACACACACACACACACACACACAAGCTGAGCAGTATACAGAACCACTGCAAATGCCAGTGTCCAGGCCACATGCAGAAATAGCCAAGATGCCCTTCACCAGAAAGTGCAAAGGTGTGAGCTTACCAGAGATTTCATCTTAAGATTCTCCCTTTGTCCCTGCTCACTTCAGCTGAGTTCTCCTAGACAGTCTGTGAGCTACTTGATATTCTCTCAGAAACTACTATTCCTTTTCTTCCTCATCATCACCATAGCCTGCCTGCATCCCCTCCCTCCTTCCTCTTCCCATTGAAAATCAGTTTCTGTTGCTATTTCTAATATCCCTCTGAAACACCAACGTAATTTTTTACTTTATGCTTGCTTCACATGAACTAAGAAATCTCCTGATTAATATTTCAGACACTTGTGTACAAAGAAGAATGCCAGACAGAGGATGAAAGCAGTCTTCAATTTGAAAATAATGATCCCCACAATCAACTAACAGGTGAT